TGTGTATCAGTCATGCTAATAATAGATTGTAGTCAAACATGTCTGCGCACCCAACCAAGCTAGATTAGGCCCTGAAATAGCAAATAAATTCCGACGTTGTTATTTCCACAAAACAAAATCATTATCCAGCTGCACAGGGAGAGTGCTAAGTATATACGCAAATTGTCCGACGCAAGGGGTGTGGATGGTGCAAGTTTGTGTGCGACGTCTCTTTTATGACAAAAGTTTACATTTAAATCATGTGGGCAGATTTTCACGATCTACTTATCAGACTATTAAAGAAGAATTTACAACGCTAATAATACAACGGTATCGCCTTCGTGGTCGTGTAAAGACATCTGGGTAAACTCGTGTTTTGCTTACTTAAAGTATGAAGAGTCATTTGTAGCAATTGCTCTTCTAATTTTCATGCTATCGAAAGTATATAACTGTTGAAGGTGACATTATTATCTTACAAAGCACTTGGTAATAATATAAAATAGATATTACTCATGGTAAGCCTGCTGACTTCAAGTCAGTGCAAAGGTATAGGAAGGAAAAAATTTAACACTTCCATATCACTGTCAATTAACAAACCTAATTTGTACTCGTGAATGTGCCAATGTAGTAGGTACCACTAATAACTTACCATGAGAATACTAAGAAAACGCTGTAGTATTCAGGGCTGTCCAAATAAATAGAGGGTTATCTGTGTATCAATATTACCAATCGAAACAGTTTTATCAATACAACTAATATAAATAAAGGAGTTTTTTGGTGCATAACTTATGAAGAGTCTCTTACGTTTTTTCAATTGTTTCATTGTCACAATCATTTTCATCAGCATCAATCTCATCCTTAGGTTCAACTTTTACCCAGACACTCTCAAACATATTCGTCATATCACTACTCGGCTGGTCTGGATCCTGTTTTGAAATTTCTGTTGTGATTTCCTCTTTATCCGACATTATATTGATGATTGTCTGTAACAATGCAATCTTTTTTTAATAAGAGCTGGTATTTAATAATTAAAATATAGACAAAAAATCGTAAAAGCTTTTTCTTTTGAAAAAATCAGATCCCTATAGTATGGTAACATTTCTCTATTTATAAAATTAAAAAAAAGAAAATAAATGAAGATTTATTTTAAATTTATTTAATCATTTCATATACTCATTTGTTCTCACTCATTTTAGTCTAAGATCCGAACCTAAATCGACCTTCACGGGGTTGATAATGGAATAAAACTTATTATATAATTAATTTAGTATATTAGAAAATATATTAAAAATGGGTTGGCTAAAAAAATCCTGGACAGAATATTTTAAATTATTTTTTAAAAAATATTTTTTTATTAAATGTTGCAACATCAAGATAATAAGAAAAATTTAATTCTGACTTAAAGTATAAAACATATAGAATGTGCAGACGTTGGGTTGTCTATTATTTACCTGGACGAACTACTGGGTTGTCAGGTATAAACAGGTATATCGATGCCAGTTAATTTCACTTGATTTGATAATAAAAAAAAATTTATATCAACATAAGCGCTGTTTCATTACGAACAGATTGATATAGGGTTGTCTGCAAAAAATTCGGTCCTAATAAGGGTTTGCGAATTTTAAAAATTAAAATTTTAACGCGTGGGAAAGTGAGTGACAGAGAGATCCGAGGAAAGTATACCGTGTAATAGTAAAGGATCTTCTACTATTTCTGGATCAATTGATAACCTTTCTTTAAGACAGTGATAATAGTATTAACCAACTTGAAAAGAAAAGGTTATCAATTTGACCCACATCTACATTATATTGTTGAAACTATTCAACATTTGAATGTCAATATTCTTATGTGGAGTGGAATAATAATAAATCCAGAATGGGACCTTCGACAATACTAGGTACTTTATTAGTTACCAGTGGGCTCATCAGGCAAAATTCCAATAGTAATAAAATGTACACAATTGTATGTATAATAATAAAAATTGTATGTTGCGGTTCAGTGTAAATAAAGTAGACTGAGAATGCTCTGTGGCAGTACCACAACAGATTGTGTGATACGGACCACATAATGTTTTTTATCAAGCAGACACAGTTTACATGTTGTGTTCGTTTTTTAAAAAAAAATATATATATATATTCTATTGGTATATAATTTACCTATTTGACTTTTTACTTTTTAAGCATGTAAACTATGTCTCCTTGGCAAAAACATCATATGGTATGGTGGCTTAGGATGCTCTGTGATCTGTGTACACCAAACTTTCCAAACATCTATTAAAATTGTCATTAGTTTGAAGCGGCATTAGGCCTTTATAAATTTCTCTACATTCACTAAAGCTTAGTTGTCATTAAAACTTAATGGACATTTGTGCAACTGGGTGTCAGACCTTTTAAGTGTTTAACAAACTTGAAAATTTTAGCAACAATTTTGTTGTTTACAATAAAAAAAATGTTGGCACAAAAATTGTTTCTTTAAAAAAAACAATACCATCATGTACAACAGCCTCATTAATTCATCTAAGTTAAGTGTGGAAAATAAGAGCCCTAATATCGATCAATATCAAAATAATGCAGTTATTGCAAAACTGTCATCTTTTAAAACTTTGTAATAGGATTTTTTGAATAATTTTGACTATATAGAAAAATACATACTGAAACGTCTTATAGCACCTTCAGTTTTCATTTCACAGTTAAGTTTTTATTTTACTTATATTTTTAAAGCATTATTAATGTAATAAGAAATATATTTGAAGCTATACTTTGATTTTTAATAACTTTTCAAAACAAATTTTGCATTTTGCATCTATTTTAAGAATACATCATGGGCATAACTAGTTTGTATGCTTTAAATATAAACATATAACAGCAATTTAATTTATTTGTTAGGAAATAGCTTGTTGAGATCGTGACCTAATATTTACTTACTGAAAACCAGAACAGAATAATCTTATCAACAACAGTATATTACATTGGAAATAAAGTTTTAAAAGGTCAGTATCATCGTTACTTACAGTATGCTTATGAATTCTATATGTATTACATGAACGCTACCAAACCACTTTAATTATTTTCTCAATATCTTCGTTGTTGCTCTGACGCTAATTCGATTCCTTTTTGTTTGACACCCATTTGATATGTTTGACATGACATAAGGAAGTTGTAGTTTCGTCCATAAAAGAGGCGAAGGAGACATTGGGAAAGAAGGGCTCTATCATCACGTTTGTTTTAAACCAGTAATGATCGACGCTTTAAAATCGATAGGGGAAATTTGACAGTTTTGTAATATATACGAATTATGCACTTGCGGCCAGTAAACTATATTTGTACAATCTTTTAAATATAAGCATATTGACAAATAAAGAAATGCAAACGGGTTGTGTTTCTAACCATTTACACATTTACAAAATAAACTCATACAATGAGGAAGTATTTAAAAAAATGAAAGCACTAAAAAAGTACCGCCACTAGATGGCGACTCTAGCAAAAATTGATTTTTGCGGGAAACGAATGGACTAAAGACAGTCATTTCCTTTCCTTTTATGTAACATATTAAAAAACTGAAATTTAAAAAGTTTGAAACTTAGCTATCAATACAAATATGTACGAGAAAATACAAATAGAATATGAACTGTTTATTGAGGTTTGAAAATTAATTCACTTTTAAACATGAAAGAAAACTGGAAGGGTTGTCATGGAGAAATCAAGAACGTACCGTAGCGACATCTAGTTAAATTTCGGGAACTAATGTTTTTTTTTCATATTTCCTCATTGACCTTTTTACATTTAAGAGTTTAAACAAACTCCTTACATCATATTTGTAAGGAATCCGACATCCTCTGTCCCTATCAACTTGCATTGGGCAATGAGATACAACGATGTTTTGGATTTATTTCCTCTATTTTAGTTTTGGCATTACGCTTAGTAATAACTAATTGAAGATTTTTAGTGCCCTCCATCGAGTGGATGTAAGATGCAGGCGATGCTCAAAAATGAACTTAAAAATCTACTGACCCGCGTTTTCGCGGTCATGTTCGGTAGCGTGACGCTACCCGCTGAAATATCGCGTGAAGCGAAATTATCTTGCGAGAGCAACTTCAAAATCCCATTTTTTTATGTATTTTTTTTATAAGAAATATTTTACAACATTTTTGATTATGTTTATTCTTTAATTTTAAATAGAAATAAAGTAAACATTGTGTAAACCAAATAAAAAAGAAATAAAGAAACTACACAAATTTATTTCACTAGATGGCAACACAAATTGTAGGATCTAAATGTAAAAAGAAGAATATTAATAAGAGTACATACTTTTGTTTTATATCTATTTGATACTTACTATAATTTCAAATTATTGAATCGATAAAAACGATTACGTATTTAGGATTTGCATTTATGTATTCTTTTTATATCACGTAACTTAACTGCTATCAGATCGCCAAACACCGATATTAAAACTGTCTATTTTGAATAACTAGTTATATTTACAACGCTTTAAATTCAAAGCAAATTTTACTCTTATACAAACGCGATAAAACCCAATTTTGGGTTGGTTACTTGATCATTTGGAAAGCCGAGCAACGCGGAACGTACAAACGTATACCTATTTCATTCACACGTATACTGACATTATGTTATTATTTCGTTCACACATAACAGGTTGCAATGTTTACGATCCATATTATTTAAACGCTTTACATTACGCGTTACATTCTATACCCTTATTGAAATTGCATTAAATGACCGTCAATGTAAAGTATTCATATCTCATAAAGACGTCTACGTATCGTTGCGAACTGTGTTTGCTGCTTCTTGGTGATCGCGGTTATTGTAAAGCGTCGTCCAAATATCAACCTTAAGCGATTTATTTAAGAGTCAATTCAGCTTTACTTTAAAGCGTTGTGGAAAATAGATAGTTATTGTATCACTGAATCATTAATCATCGCGGTTTACGCAAATTACTAGTTGAATAACTGTCTATCGCGAATAACGTCCTTCGCTAACTTGTACAGCATCCCTACATGTGTCAAATCGGGCCTATCATATTATGTGTTTTATTGCAGCAATTTTTTTATTTGTATTTATCGTATTATAATCTTGAAACCGCAATTTTGTCATTGAGATTTTAATTAAAAATGTACACCGAAGTAGATGTGTTTGTTGGTAATTACACTCTTATAGATCCAGAAATATATCAACTTTGGATTGAAGGCTGCTCGTGTGAGTATATTTATGATTGATAAAATCATATTTTAGCCATAGATACTGACATAATAATCTATTCAGTTCTTCCTCGATAATTAATTACAGCCAGTGAAGCTGTGTCAACATTACATCAGCGTAATGTTGCTAAGCAGACAGGAGCTTCTGTGGAACTCATAGCCAGTGATGTTCTTGATCATTACAGGTATGGATAGATAATACAGTATTACGGTGTTATTCCATTGAAGTAAAATGGATACTTGTTTTACTTAACGTTAGAGATCATTTATTATTTACTTTAATAATAAATAAAGAGATGTTAAAGGAAAGTCGTCTCATATTTGACAGTTAATTCAGTTTTCATAACTGGCTGCTGTTTTGTTGCTATAAAATATCAGTTAAATCTAGTTAGGCGGTAGTATAACTAAGTTGCTTTTAATCTTATATTATTTAAAAAGTAGTTATAAAGTAATAAATAAATTTATAAAATCATTTATTTAAAGAATAACTTTCTATAATGTCAATACTATTGAAAATATGCTTAAAAAACCTCTTTGTCCCTGGTACTCTTTAGTTGGGACTCAAACCCATGAACTTTTGTAATCCGAGCGACAGCAATTTTTATCAATGTACAGGCAATCTACCCAAACAGCTGAAAGAAATATTTTTTTACAAATATTTAAACTTTCTTCAAAGATGAAAATTTGTTCTAATTAAAGATATCATCAATTTTTTATTCACAATGCTATCTCAAAAATGCATAGAATATCCACTTTGTCCCTGACATCAGTTATGAGTTTGACTTCTGTTAAATTTTATAGTAGCTTGCTATTTGATTTTGATAATCTGAAAAAGTTTTTTCATGACAATATTCAGTAGCACTTAAACAAATATTGACAATTGTTAATTATAGAAAAAAAATATGCTTCTCTTGTCTCACTGATAGAGTATTTGGGACTCATTCTATAAATTTAAAAATTAGAAAGTTAACATATTGCACCACCGGTGCGACACTGTCACTTTTGCAAAAAATACAAGAATTAGTTAAATATGTAATAATTGTCCTAAAGCACTCCTTTACTTGCTACGATAATGTTCTTTTGTAGTACGCATAGTTTCCGTATGATTCATCTCATCTATATCTTCTAAAGTCATTGTTTTGTGAGGTGTCGGAGTTTAAAACTCTTCTCCTGAAAAACTAAATTTTTGCATAAGTGACAGTGTCGCACCGGGAGTGCGATATAAGAATTTGTGTTGTAATGACAAACTGAAACATCACATTGAATTTTGTATAAAATCAGTTACCAATTTACTTTGTAATTTTCATTCCAGTCTTTTCATATTTTCTAATTATTACTTATTAAAAAATAAATAAAATTGTCTAAGGTGTGGTTTATTGGTGGTATTTTCCTACCTTAAAATCTTAGTATGCTAAAGCAGGGTACATGGAGCAGGGTTAATATTTCGTGGGGCGTCTCAGACTTACATTGACCTTGTTTTGTTCTCTAGTGATATTTGCCTGACAAACAGGTGCTGATCATTACTAAGGAGCTTAATAAAGCTTCTATAATATTTACAACACAACACAAGCATTAGAAAATAATATTACATAACACATGATCATGCCGTTGCCAAAGAGTGATCAGATTAAGATTACATATTTTTAATGTAATATATTGTTATTACTTTAATTATGTTTTCAGAACTTTCGCCCTGTTGGAGCGTTTGCTAACAGTTCCATCGAAGCTATCGGAACAAATGATCTTTCAAATTGATGAGCCGACAAAACAAATGCTGATAGAGAAGTGAGTATTATAGAATTCAGTTATGGTAGTGAATAACCATTGGATTAATTCAAATAACTGTAATTCTTTCAGCATTCATTCAATTATACATTCCCATTACCATTAACTGAGTTTTTGAGGGGTTTGGTAGCGATTTTTATTTTATTTTAATTATTAATAATTAATTGAAGCCGTAGCCACATTATTATAAATTTTACAATTAAAATAAGTAAACTTGACACTAGCTCCAGTATATTAAGCTAAAAAAGAGGATCTCCATTAATTAAACAATAAAAGTTCTTTAAAAAAGATTCTGTCGATAATTAAGATATTATGTAGTAAATAGATGGCGCTTTTGCAAGACAGAACTGTTTTTTCTAATGAAAATAAATACTTTTATGTCTAAAGGTACTATGACTTGGACGATGCTGTGATAAGGGAGTTACTAGGAAGGAAGCTGTCTTCTAGACACAGGAAAGACTTGGACGAGGTGAGGACTCTGTGTAACTTGCTATTTCATTATTAAACTACCTGGACCTCTTGATGTCACCGGGCATTAATCGATTTAAAAGGACCCGATCTATCGAGTGTGCAAGGTTCAATGTCAATTATGTAATATGACAATTATAGGTATATTTGTCAGTTCTGTGACCTGATGATACTCAACACATCTTCCATCAAATATGCACCGACTCCGTGGCCCGAGACTGTAACTTTTCTAAAAAATCTATGATTTATTGACGCCATTTATTGATGCTCCCCAAAAACGAAGAAATATAGCGGAAAAAATATAAAAGAATATTACGTTTTATACTTAAATCTTTAATAATTTTTGACAATAAAAACAATATAAAAGTAGTTTCAGAAAATAAAAATATTTAACAGATTTTTTTTTACATGTTGCCGTCAGTGCTGCCGCTTTTAATTTTCCCAACTATATGGGAGCCTTTTCTTTTTATTTATTTATCTAAATTTATCTAATTTATCTAAATCTCTTCTTTAATTAAGTTTAAAAATTAATATTCCTTTTTATTCTAAGCGGTGAATTCACTAGGCAGGCATGCCCGCGGGCAAGTCTGCAGACATGCTCGCCAGACCTCATCACTATTGGTTTGTGTCATGTCTGCCTAGTGTAGGTCCGTCACAGGCAGTCTGCCAGACTGCCCGTCGTCCGTCCGTGAGATCTCATTTTGTCTGCGCGGGCACAGACAAGTCTGTAGGTGAATGCTCACCGCGGGCCGACTGCTCAGACCCGAGCCGAACAGCAAGCGTTACGAACGTCCGCTTTTGACGAAATTTTGTAGGTAACGTGAAACGAAATAAGTTTCAATGAAAATAAACAATTTTGGGAAGATTTTATAAATGAATATATAAAATATCCTTATTTATGGAAGGTTAAAAACAAGGAGTTTATTAATATGTAATATGCACTGATTACACAACCAGTCACTTAGTGCGTTGAACACTAACTGACGAGTCTGTGTAGTGTGTTGTGAACGACGGACATGCCCGGCAGACTTGCCCGCGGGCATGCCTGTCTAGTGAATTCCCCGCTCTACTATTTATTTTTCATTATAAACATTATAAACTCAAGTTACATTTAAGTTGTTAGCTTGTACAACGGTCAGTAAGGTTTTCATACTAAAATTAAGAATCTATGTTTATAATCGTACTCATTGGTCAAAACCGTAGACGTTAAGCACGTCTCAAACTGTTTTTAAACAGGTTTTCGTTTCTGATTTTGGATGGATCAATGTGATAGTAATTTGATATAACTTGGACGTTTTGCCTTGTAAAGTGTAAAAAAGTTAAATTATTGAGAACGATCAGTTGAAATTTTGTACTTTTCTAGGCCAATAAGTGAGACAATTTAATAGAGATGATTACGTATTGCCTGGAATAAAAACTCGAAAAACAATTATACTATTATTATTAGAAAAAATCACATACCTTGCTCAGATTCCAAGTTGAGTAGCATGAAGTATATGAGACAACGAAGGTACCACAACCCGACCAAAAAGTCGAACCCGGGACCTCAGCGATGGCGACACCGGCAAATTTCGAAATCGGCGTACGAACCACACATACGGCTATGGAGATCGTTTCCACAGTTGAAAATACTATAACTATGAAAAGAATTAAATAAAGTTAAAATTTAGGGATAACTTGACGATGTTTTTAAAACTACTGGCAATACCGTATCAATTACTCATTTTTCCGTTCAATCGGTCATTCGCATATACAACGTGTCCCAAAATTCAACGATAAGCGGGCGCCAAGAGGTAGACCTGCTCATGTGTACTTATGGAAAAATAAGAAAAAAATTATATCTTATTAATCTTTTTTATTATAAAATAAAATTCGAAAATTTACACCTTTTATGATATTTTCAACTACCACGACCACAACTTCTCAATTATGTTCAATCTTTTTTTGGTATCGGATACCTAAGTAGTACTAATATTCGCTACAACTCTTAAAAACACCAAAATGCCCACAGTATTTACACAAAAAACAATCAAAATGTATTTTTTTCCTTAAATTTTCACAGATTTTTACGTTCCGTAATCTTTGACTCACAGTCATGTAGAAAAAAAGTATGGACACTACTGCGGCAAGTTGTTTTTAAAATTGACGCAGCTCATGAAGATTCAAAAATGGTATAATACTTCATGATAACTAGCAACAAACTAAAAATCATACCATTTAGAATCAAGAACCAAAGTTGTGAGTAATAAATTTTACTGTTCCGAAATGTTTTAATATTTAAAAAAAATATTGAAATAAAGCAATAGCGAGTTTTAGTCTCATTCATTTATTAATAATTAACATTACAGTAAATGTTCAAATTGTTTTCTACCGGCATTAATACATGCACGACATCGCCTTAAAAAAGAGCGTTTTATTTTTCGTGCATACCTTTTAGCATTGATATGTGACGCAGCCTGACTAATTTTTTGCCGAAGCTCGTCCAATGTCGTAATGGGTTTTTCATAGATTTTGTCTTTGAGACAACCCCAATAGAAAAAGTCCAGGGGGTTTAGGTCGGGTGATCGGGGTGGCCATAAGATAGGACCAAGTCGCCCAATCCAACGCCCGGAATACTCTTGGTTTACAAATGATGTGCATATTTTTTTACTGTGACTAGTTATCTTAGATTATTATACCATTTTGGAATCTTGATGAGTTCAGTCAATTTTAAAAACAACTTGCCACAGTGGTGTCCATACTTTTTTTTACAAGACCGTAAGTCAAAGATTACGGAACGTAAAAATCTGTGAAAGTTTAAGAAAAAAATACAATTTCATTGTTTTTTGTGTAAAAACTGCGGGCATTTTGGTGTTTTTAAGAGTTGTAGCGAATAGTAGTGCTACTTAGGTATCCGATACCAAAAAAAGATGAACATAATTGAGAAGTTGTGGTCGTGGTAGTTAAAAATATCATAAAAGGTGTAAATTTTCGAAGATTTTCGAATTTAATTTTATAATAAAAAAGATTAATAAGATATAATTTTTTTCTTAATTTCCATAAGTACACATGAGCAGGTCTACCTCTTGGCGCCCGCTTATCGTTGAATTTTGGGACACGTTGTATATTCTCTCTTGGTTTAATTTGACGTATACACGTAGAGATGAGAGACAAAAACATACAAAACCATAAGCATAATGTTATTTGCAAGGCTACGTGCCGATTTCAAAACAGTGCTACGCTTTTCAACGCGGTTTTTGTATGACACTGCTTCTCTAGTTATCAAACTCATTTGTGTGCAGTGTGTGGCGTGTAGACCTGTGTCGATCGCGATTGATCGAATCATTTTAATTCGATCACAACCTATAATCGAGTGTAAGAATCATGAATCTGTAAAGGACTCGATCTTTCGACCTACACCTTCAATCAAACAGTGATGCAACAAGCAAAATAACTTTTATTTTACGTACGTAACATGAACCAAATGAAACCCGTTTGTAGAGGATCGCTCGCGCCGCTAACCCGGGACCAGTGGCGGATTAACCTCGTCGGAGGCCCGAGGCGGTAATAGTTTTTTTTCAATCGGGATAGAAACTTGTTATTGCATTATATTTATCGTACATTTTTAACTTTATTATATTCTTATGATTTTGGGGGATGGCTGCAGCCATTTGGAGGCCCCCAGGATAGGAGGAGCGGGGCGGACCACCCCCTCCGGAAACCCTTAGTCCGCCACTGCCCGGGACCAGTAATATTGATGTCTCTTTCTTCTGTGTCACGATTACGATCAAATCTTGTTGTAAGAGACACAAATAAAATTACAAGCAGTTGCATCTGTGAATTATGAACTCTGACACGTGCGTTCTGATCTGATCGCCATGCGAGTGGGCCATGATCGGTCGACACCTCTCTATTGTCGTGACCCGTGCGGTGTGTGCCGCGAGCAGGTGGCGGAGCGGTCGGGCGCGCCGCTGCGCTGCTGCCGGCGGCAGTTCGACAACGTGCGGCGCGTGTTCAAGGCGGTGGAGGAGATGCCCGGCAACGTCGTCACCAACGTGCGCAACACGTTCCTGCTCTCCGAACCGCTCGCCAAGTCAGTCGACAATCAGTAGTCCTAACATGTTTTCCTCCACCACTCGTCCAGAGATTGTCTAATTTTAAAATCTGTCACGATCTCTTTCTAACGTGTAACGGTCGTGATAGTGACTTATGGAATTTTGTGTAACTTTTAAAGATACGATCGATTTTGGCAGGCATGACGCTCGTAATGATATAAATGTCAATGTCATTTTCCAATAGCTTTCAAGGTTATTTGTAACTATCGTTTTGCTTGAAACGATTCCGATTACGTCAATATAAATGTTATCATTCATTTAAAACCTTTCAAAATAACTAATTTCATGAATAAGGAGGATAAACACAGAAAATCCTTCGAGCGCATCAACGAAAGTGTCGAGAGAATGAATGTCATCATATATTTTGTTAGTTCTGACACAGTATAAGTATTACACAGTATAGAAACTAAGCCTATTTTATAAAATAAATACCTACGCTCCATTGAAACCATAGGGTTGTCACTTTTAATGTTTTAGACATTGATTTTTTTTACGGAATATAAAAGGAGTTCTGACATGATTCAATCGAATTGTAATAATTAATTAACAAACAAAAAACATACATACATATGAACATACATTTTGAAATTTGGTACATTTGTTCAGACGGTGATATCTACTCATATTTACACTGTGGTGATATAGACATATGCGAAAACTGGGCAGTTCAGGAAAAATTACATACGTACGGGTCGAATTGATAACCTTCTTTTTTGAAGCCTGTTTAACAAACGAGAAATAGTTTAATATTGACACAATACAACTTGTAAATCTTCGTTTTTATGTAGATCTACGGCATAACTCGTGTATACGCGATACTGAGGGTCCTGTTAGGTCCACTTAGGCGGCTCGTCGGTGAGCGTGTTTACGTGTAGGCAGTTTCACCACTGTGTACTTATATGTGGTTCTGACGCTCCGCGACCGGCGATCACTAACTAGTCGAAGTGAGCATCGAAAAAAAATTGTATTCTCTCTGTATTGATTATATAAGTACTGCCTGATGATGTAGCTATAGTTTTGTTGTCCTGTGCAGAAACATTAAATTGTGATTGGTTATAATCAGTGTGATATTGTGTATCGACAGGAAGTACGGCGCGGTGGTGTTCATAGCGTGCATGAGGTTCGAGACGGCCAAACGGAAGTTGCAATATTTGTCATTCAACGACTTCTACCACTGTGCACAGGTGAAATGCTGATATATCTGAATATACGAATAAATTAGTTTTATATTTATAGTTTGTATCTCTAAATGAAAGTTGATGGCATTGAAGAAAAAAATATACAACGTGTCCCAAAATTCAACGATAAGCGGGCGCCAAGAGGTACCCTTGCTCATGTGTACTTATGGAAAAATAAGAAAAAAATTATATCTTATCTTTTTTATTATAAAATTAAATTCGAAAATTTACACCTTTTATGATATTTTCAACTACCACGACCACAACTTCTCAATTATGTTCAATCTTTTTTTGGTATCGGATACCTAAGTAGCACTACTATTCGCTACAACTCTTTCGAAAATTTTCGAATTTTATTTTATAATAAAAAAGATTAATAAGATATAATTTTTTTCTTATTTTTCCATAAGTACACATGAGCAGGTCTACCTCTTGGCGCCCGCTTATCGTTGAATTTTGGGACACGTTGTATATGTCAACCTCCAACCTCCAATCACGCTAGCGCCGTCTAGCGGGTATGGAAAATTATTGCCGCTTTTCCTCCTTAAATCTTCTATGATTAAATTTACACGGAAAATTATGTATATTTAAATTATATTGCATTTATGAGCTGACGTCTTATATACAAGTTGTAATATGTATTTATTATATGCCAGGACTTCGTAGTGTGGATTAGTTAAGTATACTGGGCAACTTTTGCTATGGGAGCAACATTGAATTCTAATACCTACAATAATTGACAGTATGAATGAATGAACGAGTAATATAACACCTTACATATTGATAATTGTAGGCTATAATGGGTAGTTGGACGTACAGTTGTACTGGGCCCGAGTATTACGACACTGAGATGGACCGCGAGTTCCTGCTCGAGCTGAGGGAGCTCAGGATACTGCTGGACAAGGAGAAGGAGCACAAACAGTACGAGATATTATATTATTGTGTTGCATCTAACTGCTATATGTCGCCTAACGCGCCCGGAATATGCATTTTTTTAAAATATTTTTTGTTTGATAATTATGCTGTTATATAACTGTAATAAAAAAATATCCGGCGCCGAAAATTTTAAAAATAACATAAATATATAATGAAAATGAGTAACAACTACAAGGAGTATAGAGGCCGAAATTTTTGGCGCGTTCGTTGTGTGTGACGTCAATGTACTCGACTATAGTCTGTTTTTTAATCTCAGAGATTTAATTGACACATGCAAATGGCGAATTCAGAATAGGGTATTTGACACTTTTCTGGAAACTATTTTAAAACGTTGTTTTCTACATTATAAGCAATATATTTCATAGGATTTTTTTCTAGTTTTGGTGAAAATAATTGTTAAAATTTAAATGCCAAAATCGCGCGAAAGACGCAGCTCTATGTAATGGCGCTGGTCATGACGTCACATGCCAGTAAATATGTACTCGATACCTACAGGCATCGATATTTTACGTATCTTTCTAACACTACTTTGAAGCTTCCCGTGGGTGAAATAATTTTAATATCAGTTCAGTAGTATCACTGTAAAAAAACAATAAAAAGAAATCTGTTTCGATTCCTTTAATGACATAGTGTACACATAATTTCATTTATAATATGTTGTTTATTTTGTAACATCGACATTTCTATAAGTGTACATTGTGTAAGTAAACAAGTGTTTTTTTTTTTCGGACATATCCAGTTGGTTATATTCTGAATTTATAATCCTAACATTGGTGTTAGGACTAGGATAACATTGGTGTTAGGATTATAAGTTAAATATGTATATAATTTCATTTTTTGAACTCAATTACGAATAGGTAACTAGGTATACGTCGTCGTCGAATTTAAACATCCGTATACTACACAATAGTTTCGTGTAATTTTTATTGATATCGCTCACTCTCCGTACTAGTAGTGTTAGGGCGCTTGTGCACTACACTGAATTTTCAGGTCCGGCGGTCCGATTTTTTCCGGTCCGGAATGACATGAAAAACTCGGATGAGTAGCTTGTGCACTTGTCCGTTTTTTTCCTGATCGGAGCGGCGCAGTGTAGGGCAGCTCTCTTTGAAGCTACACGTCACTTATGTCAGGTACGATGAGATTATTGAAACGTTGGTAATTCCGTTCGAAGACGTAGAAAGGTACCTAAATAATGATCTGATCGTTTTACATAAACCATAATAAATTATGGCAAGACGAAAGCATTTTCTTTACTACTATCGGATGACTACTATCAGATGTAAAAACTTATACCCTTACTAATTTAGGAACAGCATTATTCACATACAATAGCTAAAAATATCTGACATTAGAATAAAATTACTGATAATGGTCTAGTACTTGATGTTTGAATTTGCTATTTTTTTCGAAGTTTTGTAAAAACAACTTTCAGCGATTACAGAGATAGACCAATCGGTGGCGCCATTTCGTAAACAAATCGAAATTAGTGCCGAGTTAGCGGAGAATAATTATGCTAAATGAACTTTACGAGATCAGTTGACTGTATTATATATAGGCATAATTTTATACGCGTGGTGTAGTTTCTTTGAGCAGAAATATTATTCCCTTAGATTACTTCATTTTTTTAAATTTATTAATCACACAAACATACATTTAAAATTTTATTAAATGCGAAAAAGACATTGAGTGTCACTTAATTATTTTGTTAATCTTCTGTTTATTCTTCATTATTACTTCTGTTGTCAAATATTTATCTATACTTATCAATTGTCTAAAAAAAATTTAATAATGACAAATTTCCAGGCAAACTTTCATCCCCTATTTTTCGCGATAAAATGTAGCCTATGTCCTTTCTTAAAGTTAAGTCTATTTACTATATTAATTTCCATTTAGATGGGTTCAGTTGTCTAAACGTAACAACACTTATTTATCTTACTTAAACTATCGATACTTTTAATACGATTCTAAAATCTAGCTAAGTATCGATACTAGAACCATATGTTGATCAAATTAGAACTATACCGAGTTTGCCAAAGCATTTGCAGTGATATATACCAACTATATTAAATCATCATATAAAATATAGCATTTTATAATCAACAATAAATATCGATTATAAGTTTATTGGAAATTAACAATATTGCCGAAATAAATATCGATTCAAATCGATTATTTTTTCCCAAGCCTATTCCTTATGAATTTTCCGGATCTCGGACACAGCAATGCACAAGCGTAAACACGTTTTTCATTGCCGCCATCACGGACCTGAAAAAACCGGTCCGGAATAGAGAAAAGTAAAATTCCGGACGGTAAAATTCCTGACAGTGCACAAGCGCGCATTACCTACATATGGCCTGACATATCGGACCTGAAAAAATCGGACCGCCGGACCTGAAAATTCAGTGTAGTGCACAAGCGCCCTTACCGTGACAAGCGCACCTTTCGAGACCCCCCGACAATTCGCGTGCCTAAGTGCGTGCGTCTGTGTGCGTATGGTTTTAAAAGATTGTCTTAGTTTCGCTTCTGTAGCCGAGTGGTTCGCACGCCGGTTTCAAGGTGTCGCCATCTCTGAGGTGCCGGGTTCGATTCCCGGTCGGGTCAATGTAGAAAATGAACTTTTCTATATTGACTCGGGTCTGGGTGTTGTGGTACCTTCGTTGTCTCAGGTACTCCATAATACGGGGGCTTTAGCTACTCATCTTTAATATTTTATATTTATATTATTTATCTGTATTTTTCTGTGGTAATAATGTTCGTGATAAAATATATTAAATCCATTTTTGAATCAGACACATATTCCCTATTGCCAAATGCAGTTTAAAACAGTGTCATGGTTTATGTATAATGTATTAATGAGTTTCAAATAATAATCCTTAAAAGCGGCTGATAATTGATATTAATGTGTTGTTTCTTCCACAGTTTAATATGTATGCGCTTGAAACCGAAACTTCTGGAGAAATCTTATCAGGAGCTGGAGCTGAATTTCAGGTAACAATCACTGTACACACAGCAGCACTTCAGATTACCACAACATGTCATATTGCTGTACATGATTCTGAACTCTACTCTCAATGCATTGAAGTTTAAAATCAAATGTAGTTTTTTGTTAGTTTTGTATAACCTGGCGTGCTGTTGACTGTACTTTTGCCACACTGTTTAGTTGAATCAGCTCGTTTAGTTGAATATTTAATGTAATCATTATTAGTGACAAGTATAATAAAACATTATTTAACTTGTCGACATTGCCCATGGTGTGGGTGATGCATATTGCTAATGAGCGTGGCCGCCATTTTGGTGACATGTGTTTGACTAAAATAACGGCTGCTATTATCATTGCCAAACTTATTTATTATAACAAAATTTGTGGATTATTTATAAACATTTCAATAATTCAAAAAGTATATTTCTTCATTTGGTGCTATCTATACTTTTTATTTTCCAATGACGTCACGCGGGTGTTATTAGACAAGGTTCCAGCGCATTATCTTGGCGATAGATAGTTAGTTCTCTGACCTATCCGTGCCTATACACATAATAAATAAGACCAAATTCTCATCTTAGTCGAAAGGTTAAAATTATTGAAAAAAATATTACCTTAGGTGGATCTCGGGGCGCCTGGGGATGGTGGAATATTAAAGCATTTCATTAATTAAAAGATATTTACCTAGACTGTGGCATCGTGAATGTAAAATTGATCAAATGTCATTATACATACCCATTGTTTCAGATTATACACCCGCGCGCTAGTCGGCCTCGCTTGTAATCTGCATAGAGGCAGAGAGCTGAGGTCCTTGTTCATAGATCTACTAGAAAGGTAATAATTAATGTGTGTTGATGATTATATAATGTAACATTGTAATGGTGAACGCAGATCTGTCCTCGCATTGCACTCCGAACGAGTCTAGAATCGAATATAAGCATGTAACTACTCGCATACTTGTTTGTGGGAATAAGTATCCATATTGATTAATTTAAAACAGTACACTGAAAGTTGTCCAATCCACTATTAAGAGAAATAAACCATTGAAATAGTTTGTTTTGCATATCTGGTTCAAGAAAATATCCAAGAAAATCTTATTAAAAAATAACATAATTATAAATTATGTGTTTTATTCTAGATGCGTGGAGCCACTACGCTTGGGTTGTTGGCCTAAAACGGACTTGGCGCAGTTTCTGTGTGCGTATGAGCAATGTGCGTTACAAATGGACGTATTAAGGTAATTGTACAGGGTTGTAACAGTAAAACACCTTCAAAGGTCTCTAGAAGCATTGAAAGCGTTCTGCAATGCCTTTTACCTAAATAGCATAAATCAGAGCTTCTAAAAGTTGGGTAACTTTGTGTTCCTGTGATTTTTTTTATAAATTTATATTGTGCACCCTATATTTAAAATGTCTGGTATATGAAATAAACGATTTTTAATCATGTCACTCATTTTTACCTTGATCACATTTCTTTGTTGTCAAGAAAATTACGTTTTCACTCCTTAACATCAGTCCCTAGCCATGTCACATCTCCAAAGTAATGTTTTCGTGTGTCTGTTTTGAATATACTAGGCGATATTTTAACTTTATTTAACTTAAAACTCATTAAAAATAACTCCATCTTATAAACGGAAAAATTTAATGTGCAATGTAAATTATTTTTCATGATTTTTGTGAAGCTAAGTAGTGTCATCGGTAATTATAGTCAGGCCCTAGCCACTCAGTAAATTTAAAAATACGCGGCAATTGAGTGAAGCGAGCATTTTAAAACCGATGCGTTAAAAAGTCACCACGCGAAGTTAGCCACACGCTTGGGCCGGCCCGCGTCGGCCATCTTGGCGTCAGTGCTGTCGGCTTCCCCGCTGAGCAAACACGTGCTGTGCCAGTCAATCTGTCAGTTCCTAGGTGAGTTATAATTCGAAAAGTTCTATCGTTATTATTATCTTTTGTTTGTGTGTATATGTGCTTTGTTTGTTCTGATATTATGGTTATCTAACATTTTAGGAATATCATTTTAAGAGTAAACTAAGTATGATTTTGTTGTGATTCGTCAGTCCCTAGGCCATCAGTCCCTTGCCGTAAATGTGACTAGGGACTGATGCAAAGGCCAGGGACTGACGTTCCTACTCGTTAAAATAGATTCGTCAATTTGATATAGTGTTATTTGTTTTAGAATATGCCACCTAAAAAGAAAATACCGCTGTCTAAAGAAGAAAAAGCAAAAAAAAAGTCAGAACAAGCAAAAAAACGTTTAGAAAAAATAAAAAATGATCCAGTTTTATTAGCGGAGTATAAAGAGAAAGAAAGATTAAAATACCTCAGAAAAAAGGAAAAAGGACAGAGAAAATGCGTTAAGGATATGACTCCTCGTGAACATAGAAAAGTGAAAAAAAAACTGGATCACTTACTCAGCAGCTTACAGACAAAATAAGAAAGTTGTTAAACATGCTGATCAATATATTGACGAAAATACGCCACCAACATCTGATGGAGAAAATGGTCTTCAGGTACCACAACAAAGAAATCTCGAACAACAAGTAGATGATATAAATGTTCCATGTATTGCTGATAGAAGACAAGCTGAAGCTAAAAGAAGAAACAAGCACGAGTCGTGATTGGCAAAAAATATCGAAGACAAACTATGGTAGTGGAGATTATGTTTTGATCAAGTTAACTATGCGAAAAAAAGAATACCGGTATGCTGCGATTTGCTCGAAATATGATGAAGTGGATGGTGAGTTGACAGTTGCATTTCTAAAAGTTAGCAACGACCATGGGACTGAATTTAAACTTAATGACAATGATATCGCTGACGTACCTTACGAAGATGTGATAGAAAAACTGCCAGTTCCTAAATTAGTGAATAAAAGAAACACAACAATTTATAGATTTAACAAGCCAGTTAATGTATTTGAGAAGTAAGACTACGTATTTTATGATAAAATTATAAGACTGCAAATTTGTGTTCTTAAAGTACAATTATAATTAAGAAGAAGCTATTTTTGTTTATTGTTACATTACATAATGTTATGTTTTATAATTATATATTATGTAAAAGTACGAAATATGTTTAGTTGTGTGATCTCAAGTAAGTAATGAAAAGTATTACTAGTTTTGTTATTCTTGTTGGTAAGAGAGTAGTATCCAAGATACTTATCTAAAGTTAGTTTTGTCTTTAATTTGATTAGATTTTGCTATAAATGTGTCAATTAGTAATATAATTGCAAGAATTACTTAATAAATATTGATTATGTACGATGAAAATGTAATTTTATTTATACTAACAATGAAAGGCATCAGTCCCTAGCACAGCCAGTCAGTCCCTAGAAAACCGATATCAAAAAAACTCAATTTTCTCTATAAGTACTAAGTAAAGTGACCGGCCTGTCTGGATACAAAATGTAAACTATTAAAAGAACCATATTTACTAAAAAGTTATTAAATTAGTATAAAATAACACTGATGGAAAAAAAAATTAGAAATTTACCCAACTTTTATGGAATCTAATTCTTAATATTATGTACACATAATTAACCTTTTATTTATATAATAATCAAGAAACGGATAATCTTTAGTAATGAGCGAATTAGATATAAAACAATAATATAATCATAATAAATAGCAACAAATCAAAATCCGATCAAATCCAAAGAATGCATTAATTAAAATTGATATTAATAAACAAAATAAAATCCAAATTAAAAAAAAAATAAAAATAGCTAGGGAAATTAATTCATATTACATTATAACCCGTCTCACCGAGAAAGTTAAAAAATAAATAAAAAATTATAAACAGCTAATATTTTCCAGTACTACTCTTTTAAACTTTTGCAAATTTAGATGGAATATATCCAGACAATGACATTTGGAGGATATATGGTTGAATGTGCGACACATTCTGTCGATCGGGTTATAGAAGGATGTATTATTGATGCAAACCCTGAGAACAAAAGGTTTCGGATTACGGGACCTAAATCGAATATTAAACTGCAAACATGAAATCAAGTACGGAGAGTCTATAATGGAGTTAACCAACTTAAATAGGCAAACAAGATCGAAATATCCACGGCGGGTCTCCAAAGACATCATATGGAAAAAATTTAATTTGTCTTCATAAATTGTTGTATGTTTTCTGCGGTATCCGTAACGGTAACATAGAATTCTAAATAATTTATTCTGCACGGCCTCAATATTAGCAATATGTATTTTGTAAAAAGGAGCCCACACCACGCTGCAATATTCAAGCAAACTCCTAACCAGTGCTCTGTAAAGACATAATAAACTAGTGGGTCTCCTGAATTCTTTAGTACTTCGTGAAATAAATCCCAACATACGATTGCTTCGAGCTACAATGTAGTCGTAATGATCACGGAAAGATAATTTTGAATCAAAGACCACACCCAAATCCCTCACTACCTCCCTCCTATGAAGAACCTGGCCACACAGAGTATACTCATGCTCTGTCCTGTAGATCTTATTTGTGAATGATACCACAAAGCATTTGTCAATATTAATATGCATGCGATTATCAGTGCACCACTGTACTAGGGTGTTAAGATTCTGTTGTAGTTCCATGATATCACATTCATTGTTGACAGTTTTAAATATTTTGAGGTCATCAGCATAAAGTAAGTTAGGACACGTCAAATGCTCCACGAGATCATTGATAAATACAACAAACAAGAGCGGTCCAAGGTGTGACCCCTGAGGAACACCGGACGTGACTGTTATAGGATTGGAAAGGTGACCCCGAATTGCTACCAGTTGACTTCTACGGTTAAGGTACGACTCTATCCAACGAAGCAAACTACCATGAATACCATAGCTTCTCAACTTATCACACAATATATTGTGGTTCACCTTATCGAAGGCTTTAGCAAAATCAGTATAAATAGAGTCTATCTGTCCTCTTTTGGCAAATGCACAACAAAGGTAGTCTTTATACTCCAGCAGATTACTGGCAGTTGACCTATTTGCTACAAAACCATGCTGATTAGGCGATATATAAGGTTTGAAATGTGTATAAAGTATGTCGTATATAACTCTCTCAAAAAGTTTAGCAAAACACGACAATATACTAATCGGCCTATAGTTCTCACACTGAGTCCTATTGCCACTCTTGTGGATAGGTACGATATGGGCGACTTTCCATTTAGTGGGGAAGAATCCAGAAGTCAATGATTTATTAAAAAGGAGGGACAAAGGTACGCAGAGTTCTTCACCACATGTCCTAATGAATGAAGGTGGTATGCCATCAGATCCAGATCCTTTGTTGGGATCCAATTTCTTTATTTTTCTTAAAACATCTGCTTCGCCGACAAATACATAACCAAGACAGGAGTTAGATCTACAGTCCTGCCGAAACCTCAAATTACCATCTCCCTCCTCATAAACACTACCAAAGTAAGAAGAAAAAAGCTCGCATATTCCCTCCGCGTTGTCCGATTCCAATTCACCATATTTCATATGTAATGGTAAGCTATTGCTGTCCTTTTTTGAGTTTACATATTTCCAGAAACCCTTAACATCATCCGAAAGAGAATCTTCAAGAGAAGATATATAAATTTCATGACATTTTTTTACAAGTTGTTTACACCTAGTACGTAATAAGCTAAACGTGTCGTAATCTCTGGGGTTCCTAAACTTTTTATAAGCTTTGTGATATTTAGACTTTTCTTTGAGACATTTAATTAACGAAAGGCTGAACCAACTTGGATACGAATCTCGCGAGGATCTACTTTTGAGAGGCGTATGTTTCCCTATAATAGAATCCAGTTTATTGTAAAACAAATGCACAGCCGATTCCACATCGAGCGAGCCCAAGACTGATGACCAATCGATACAACCTAATTCAGATCTAATTCTGTCAAAATCACTCCTACGAAAATCAGGACGATTGCGGATTTTTTCTTTAATAGAACCATTAGAAATAGTCAAGATCGGCACTTCAATGACAATAGGTGGATGATGATCATCTTCTCGACTAAGAGCACTAGCTCTATCAACAGTAAGAGTATCCAAATCAGAGAGCACAAGATCCAAATAGCGTCCACCTTTGTTTGCAAAGCTGTTAAACTGGGAGAGGTTGCAAAAAGATATTAACTCCAACAGCAAAATGGATTTCTGGTTGTGTATCAAAACATCCGGAGTACAATGAAGGGCCTCAGTATTCTTCCAACTGACACCAGGAGTGTTAAAATCACCAACCAGAATAAAATGCCCTTTGTTGCTATCGTTTGAAAATATTCTTTGACAGTTATTGTAAAATTTATTAAGTCTGTCAATGTTAAGATCGGGTGGCAGATAACAGACGCAGATGTTAATATCGCGTACATTATTTAACTCAGAAACAATGCTGATCCAAATTTCCTCGACTTCGCATTCCCATGATACCCGACGACCCATGATTCTGTAAACTAGACGTAGATCGATCTCTTCTAAAGATGTGATACCGATTGTCTATGTATTCACCATCCAAGATTTCTTCATTAAAGTTAGTTTCAGTGAGACAAATTATATCGTAGTCACAACTCAAAATATTCAAAAACAAACTGTTCAACTTACTTCTTACTCTATTTACATTTTGATAATAAACATTCAAAGTGATCATAATGAAAGTGAATAGCAAACCACGCAGATTACATAAGATTTACTATTAAAAAAAAAAATGGAAGAAAACCCAAACACCACCTCATTTAAAGTCTATTCAAACAACTAGAACTCTTAATAGGGAAGCAGCCGCTCTCATCATTCCTACGCATAAAGATACGACCAAATTTTATCCAAACATATTTATAATTTTTGTCTTTGGCCAGTATATATGTACTTCACACAGTTGTTTATTTTTTTCGTTTATAAATAAAACAGACAGACAGAATAATAAATTGGAAAGGTAGAATTAACTGGTAGATCAAACGTCGTTGTCTATGAACGTAATCCTGTGAGATTATTGCTATATCATAAATAACACAAGCTTAAACTGGGACAAGAGGGGATAATTGCACTAGGGTGCAAGTACACAATCCCACACTTTAATTTATAACACTAACGACAGAAGTCAGGCCTACAAAACGGAAAATAATCATATGCTTTTAACTAGTGTAAAATATTTCATGAAATATAAATTTAAAATGTTTCATTTACTTTCACAGGGAGGCAGATTTAAAGAGCGTGTGGGAGAGGTACATGAGGGTGATTAGTCAATGTCTCCTGACTATGTATCATATATAGAGAGCATTATAAACACCCAGTTGCCAAATACCGGATTAGAAAATTGTTTTCCGCCTTCACATAGCATTAGTTACTTAATACATTGGCGCTTCGTCAATTATAACTTGTTAATAATTTATTCAATGTAAGTTTAAAACTTATAAAATATATGAAAATTTATGAAAAAATATGGCAGTTTTATTACTTCAAATGTGGAAATGAGAAACCAAATTATTTCAAACGATCTTTAATTAATTTCTCGATTATAGTATAAGATACAAACGGTTATAATTACTATTTTACATAAAATTAATAGATAAATATATCACAACACAAATTATAAGTACATTATTCAACATATTAACAGCCAAATATTACTATATTTATACAAAAATCATTGCTGTATACAAAGAACGCAAGTTACTTAAAGTTTTTATACATGTCTTGTATATGTATGTATACATTTTGAGTATACAAGTGTCAGAATGAAATATTTTAGTATCATACGCAGGTACTCTGTAATGTGTACATAATTGTTATTACATTATGTACTCGCAAGAATCGAACCTTGGAAATTGTCCCAAACAACACCAACTTATGTTTGCTGCCTTCAATCACAATCACATTTGTACAGAATAAGATGCTGTAGCGCGGACTTAGTATTACTGAGATATTGTATAATTTGTTATTAGTTCACGGTGGCCTGTTTACCTTAATTACAATAGTTGTCGAATCAATCATTACCTAATAGATAATATTTTACGAAAAATAACCAGATCCAAAGAAACACTCACTTTCCATCCCAAGCGCCCACAACATGCTGAATTCAGCAATTTCAATAACTTCCTATTACTTTATAGTAGCCTGGTATTTCGAGGACACACCAGTGTCGATATTTAAAACCTACCTTACAAAGAAGCTTAGAAAGAAGCTGATTCATATAAAATCTCTCTCCACCGACGGACCCTGAATCCGCAACTACCTCATATACTCAGTCAATGCACTGGACCTTAATAAACCTTAACACCCAGACACAACAAAGACGCTGGCTGCGCGTCGCTAATTTGCGACATAAAATTCATAGAAAATATTGAATAAATGCATCAATATTATACATATTACAATTTATATACAAGGAATGTCTAATCAATTTTAAAGCAACAGAATTAATATTCGAGTCGGGTAACAAATTTCGCAAACACAGAAATACCTACAACCAAAAATATAATTGAAAATAAAATAAGTACAAGTGATTCTTTTTAATTACCCGCCAGTTTTTCTATTTTATAAAATCTCAAATTCATAGCAACACCAAGGCACAACTTTTTCTCTAATGGCAACATTTTTACACTACCAATATTATAAGAAAAAATCACGTGTGCCGTATTATTATAATATTTAGGATATGCTTCATCTCTTTCTAAATACATACGTCCCGTGTTGTTTAAATTTAATTCAATTATGTCTTTTCATTATTTAGAATCTATCAAATACTTTTCAGAAATATTCAAGTAACTTTTTTTACGTATAATCTTAAACTGAGCTCTTTAACTAAATTGTATGTACAATTGCTGTAGCTAATCAGGGATAACTGATACACGCGTTTTGCATATAAATACGTAATAGCAAGATTAATTTTGTTATCAGCTATCTATATGCAAAGCTTAAAACCTAAAAATCACAATCTCTTGGATTCACAACGGACTTGAATCTGCAAATGTAATAATGGCGTTTCAATGAGAACCTATTTGACATAATGCACGTTTATACGATGACCAAATGTATTAAAAATTATAAAATTTGGTGCCCCTATCACTCCCAATCTGTGGGATTCAGATCTGATTGGCGGACATTTGCTGAGCTTCCAAATCCAATTTTCTGCGCAGGTACTTAAATCGGTTTTATTTTATTGTAATACACTCAATGTGAAATTAATTGGAACGCCATTAGAATTACTACAATAACATTAGCAGAATTGTGGCCGAGATATTTGAATACGAACCTTATCAGTTTCTTAGACGGTTCAAAATATCATGCATAAGTATTTGGTGGCACGACAGAATTGGCACCATGGCCAGAAATATTTGATGGAAGCTATAGAAGCACGTAGAAGATTACCACTATAGAAATAGATAGTTATATACTACGAGGAAAAATCGGTAAAAAATAACATTAATTTGTACATTTCCACTTTTGTTTGAAACAAACATTTGATCTAGAGAAACTTACAAACATTTTGTATAAGAATATTATGTACTGGTTGTACAACTTAGTATATTGCTTAATAGCAACATTTCTATGTAATGACCCAGTCTCCCTACTTACCGTCAGCAGGGCAGATCTGTGCCCCAGCAGTGGGACATTAATGTAAATCAATCAAAATATCTCCGAAATAAAATTCAGAAAAAATTTAGAATCATAGTTTCCTTGGAAAAATTCATAAAAAACTAAAATACAATGAAATTACATGTCTTATGCATGTAGTGTGTGTGACACAACAATGATCGATTTCTGATCTGGAATTCGTGGAACATACTCCCTTTAAATGAGATATCACTTGGAGCTGTTACAGATAATAGTTGAGTTCAATAAATTGTATATTGTTATATATATTCAAGAAAAGAGAAGGAAGTTGTAGAAAAATCATTTTTAATATCAACATCTAGTTGTTGTATAATGCTCAAGTTGGAAAAAATTTGGTAAATGGTAATATAGTAAGTAATGTTTTACACAATGAAAGTGAATATACTTAATTACAATTTGATTACTAAACGTACTCTTAAAGTTATTTCAGTGCTTTTTTGCCATTATCATTAAATAATTAATACAAATTTGTACTAATTATTATTTACACAACAAAGAAAATTTTCCGTTCCTAATATTTGGCGCGTGCGTATTTCGTTTTATTTTTTAATAATACCTAAATTGATCTTATGAACTATTTAACTAGTATTTTAAAATTAAAGTACTCGATTTCACTGAGAGTTATGTACAAGGTCTTAAATTTAAAAGGAATTTGGTATTCCCGACTTGAGACACGCTTAAATTAGATTAATATAATATTGCCGAATTGATTTCAAGTGGAATAAATACATTTTTTTAAAATTTTCTTTACATTAATGATGATTGTTTTTTTTTCATAATAAAGTTTGATTCTCACTTATGTATTATGTGTTTACAGCATTAATTATTCAAACTTTTTTAATAGCATAAAATTAATGTATTATTTTTGTATCTCAATTCCATTTTGTCTATTTACAAATTAAATTTGAAAAACATTAATATCTAGATTGGATAAACTTCAAATTAATTCGGTAACAGGTAACAGCCGACGCGACCCCACTGTCAAGATGCCAGTAGCTGCGTCTCGTTCACTCCCACGCGTCCAGGAGCGAGATGGCTAACCTAAGCTGTGAGGGGGGCGGTTCCCACTCAAATGTCCACTTCGCATATTTTCCTCTTCTGTGGGAATCCGTATTTGTCTTTTTTAATAACTTCCTGTTTTAGTCGCTGGTATGTTTCTATTCTTGAGAGGGCGTATTCCTTTAAGAAAAAATTATATTATTATATTTTTTCCTAGAGCCACCATATAACTTCAAAACATATGATGTCGCAGTCAACTGGTTAAAACAGACGATTATAACTACGCACTAAGGGAATACCAACGCTAGGTACTAAGACTCACCCAGTATCCGAAGGGTATCTGACTCTTAGAAGCGTTGACAATAGACCATAGACTCCAGAACAGATGACTGGCGAGCGCGAACGCGTCCACCTCGCCCAGCAGGTGATTCACCTCGTCTATTGAGTACGAGGAGGACTTGTCCTCGGAGATATTCGCGTGATAGTGTTTCAGGTATTCCCTGATGAATATCTCCTGGAAGATTTCCCCGATAATTAGATAGATGTAACCTCCTCTACATTCATGCTAACCTAGTTACTATATAGAATATAGAATTGGCTTTCGTCGTAATTGCTGTATATATGAGAACGACATGCTAGTTTAATTTGACCAGAATTACTCGTCAGATCACATCACATCATGTCAAAATTCTTTATTTCATTTTGAACCCTACACGCAATGTTTTAGGGTTTAAAGTCAAGTGGTGAAATTTGAGATTTACATAACTAATGTGCTGGCAATTCGATATCGATTTTATATGTCTAGTTTATTTCTCGAGTAGTTGCTATTTCCTTTGTTCTATATTTGTTTTCAATACGAATATAATAAGCCAACATGTCACGCCAACAACCGTTATTACAAATAATAATTACCATAGAAAATACTGTCTGTCTGTTAAGTTTTTATGACCTAATTGCTAGTCCAATAATTTTATATATAGACATGAAACCTGGAAAAGGCTAAATGCCACTTTTTTATTGAGAGTAATAAATAGCTTCTAAATATCAGCGGACGGATGACAATTAAAATACATAAACCTTAAATTCAAATAAAGAAACTATTATATATAAATTAATATATTGTATAAGTCAGTCAACCATACATGAATCTCTTTTATGCGTTTCAACTTTTAATAAAGTCCAAATATAATAGACCTTTTCAACACGATGATATTTATTATATTAGATAAATTTTGCATTCAGAATGCTGTAAGCAGTCGGCGGACTGCGAATGGTCGTGTGTTCGATTCCCATCTCAGAGTACCGGGGACAAAGTGAAGTTTTCATTAAAATATGATATTTATTCTTTATTTGATTATAACTATTACTAAAATAAACACGTGCCTAGAAACAAACTTATATTTCATATACGCGAATATATCTTGGAAAGGTATAACTAGATTATATATATAAAAAAAAACTATTCTCTTTTCCATACATGCTTAATCCTACATTCTATATTTTCTTTTTACTTATACACTTAAATAAAATATTCGGATAAAATATCTAAGCGAAGCCCAAATATTAAATTTTGCGTGATTTTGTTATGTCTGCCCGCCATTTATTTATATAGTAAATTTTAAAAAAAAATGAAGTATGAAGGGCATATTCTTAATAATAATATGTGAATAACGAAGGATCTATGTGAGTATCAGTGTATTTCGCAATTGTTCAAGCATCGTCTTAACAATATCGTATTTGATCATTATACAGGGTGATTCATAACCAGAGGTCGGAATTAGGCAGAGTTATTTATGTACTTGCATCGAAATGTTGATATTAATGTGGACCCTTCCGAGATTTCTTTATTTCTTTCTTTCATTGATGTAAGTTTGGCAACGTCGTGCGTGCAGTAGTTTAAATTGTGTAAAAGTAAATAACTTTTTATTTAAAAAATCACAGGATTTTTTTCTGCTCTTTAAAATTAATCTCGGGGTTTGAGGCATATCCACTTTATTCTTTCGCTGTATGAAATCAGTGTAAGTACATGAATAACTCTACCTAATTCCGACCACTGTTCATAACACATCATCACCCTCACATAAATACATAGCTAGTATCGTAAACAATTGTTCTTTATTATTTACAATTCATTACATTTTGTTTTGAAGTAAATATAAAAAATAATTTAATAAAAAAAAAATTACAATAATAGACCTATGAACCTCATGACAGTACAAGAATAGTTAATAAAGAAAACCTTGAAAAATCATATGTTGTTTTAAACGTCCATGGTCATTTGTTAATTACGGGACTGCGTGTACCTTATATTTATTGAGTTCCCGATAAACTTAAGTTACATTGGAAAATTAATTTTTGTCCAAATATAAGTTACGGTTGAACTCGTATATCAAACGTTGTTTATGATGTTAGCTATCTATTAGCGTGAGGTTGATGGTGTTGTACAAATAACTCTGTATAATATTCCAATTCTTTGTTATTGATGCTTTGATTGACAAATTCAAGATACAAGACCGATCAGTGCTCAAACGCTTCGTATACCTCAATCATACTGAAGCGATCTGTTAAATGTGCAGTAATATACACTATCGGTCCTACACAACGATGAAAATCATATTATTGGTAAATAAATACTTGGCATATTTTTATATTACGATACACGTTTGTATATAAATCAAATCAAAAAGTGTCCATTTTATTTCAAACATTTGAATGCGTAGATAAATCTTCTTATATTTACACGCACATTATCGTATTTCAAATAGGCTATAGAAATTGATTTAAGCACTTATTTATGGACAGGAAAGTATTGATACTTTTGTATGCCCGTACTGGACACTTCTCGACTTAGAACTATCAGACGATTTCGTATCTAGGGGTGTCAATCAAAGCAAACAGTTTTCGTTAAAGCAATGCTCGAGAAAATTAATAACAAGTGTCACAGAAAAGAATTGATTACTTAATATTTTATAATTAAGATAATATTAAGTGACCAAAACCTTCATTTTTAGGGAAAAAATATTTTTTAATATTTAGACTGTCGTCCCAGTGCGGTTCGAACGAGGTCGTCGTGTCGGCGCGGCGCCCGCCACAGACAAACGAGTCCGCCGCGGCGCCGCAGTCTATGCCGCGGTCATAGAGCACTGCGACTAAAAACCAAGCAAACACACACAAGCTGCGTACTGGCAGTCCTCCTCCGACGTATTACCCTCTAATAATGCATTCATGTTTTTGTTTGTGGCAACTTTTCGATTGTAAATCAAAATACCGACATAAACAGAGTTAAAACAAAAAAAATATAAGAGATCTGGACTTGTTCACGTTTTATTGCCACAAACAATAGATTACGGTTTTTTTTTTAAATTTCAGTTTTTGTAACCTCTTTAAAAGATTTTGGTGAGAAAATATCACAATATAATCATTAAAAAATCAATGTCGTTTAGTCAGTTACCAATAACAAAACGTGAAAATTAGTTAATGGAATTTTAATGGTAATAACCCTAGTATTTATTTATCTCTCTATTAAGATAAAGAAGAAATAAAAGTTCCCTTTTCCAACCACAATCGAAAAGAGCACAGGATAACAGCGGATCACGACGTTACTGTTCACGAATGGATTTTTTTTTTAATTGTTGGAAATCTTAAAAAGAGGTCACATATATTTTTTTTTTGCAGTGATGATAATGAATTACGAACCTCAAAAGAACGCGCCGTATGATACTCAATACGACTTGCGTCCTCTGTAACTTGAAGAAAATGATAAAAGCTATTGTACAAGCAATTTTGAATCTTAAATTGAAAACATAATAATGTAGTATTTTTCTTTTTTCATCTCGTTTCGAAATCCAAGCAAACTAACAATATCTAAATCTACAACGTATACTTGAAATAGAGCAACACCCGGAGAAATTGATTAAAAATCTAATTAAAGACTGTACGAGTAATGAAAATACATTATATTAAATCATGTCATGGCTAAAGATGCCTGCAGGGATAGTAGTAAGAGCATGTGTACCTAGTTAATGCAAACCTATTACAGAACATTATTTTTAATGTTATTATTTTAATTGACGTTACACATCTGTACATTTTCTACATATATGTGACGTGGTGAGCTCTCACTCCTCAACTTTAATGCCTATTATCTAAGCCATTTCTTGTTAAGTTCAAACAGAAAATAGGTATTTAATATTTTTCTATTATCCAACTGAGGAACTAAATAGATTTTTTTTTTGTACATTGTATGTGTTTGTCACACGTTGCTACTTATATGTGTGCATTAATACATGCGGATTTATTCACTCTATTTTATGATTGAGGTTGTCTAGAAGAGATCTATTTTAGCGATAAGACGGCCTTTGCCCACTTTAACTATAAAATGATGTGTGAATTGTTACATATTTTTCTATATATTATTTATCTATGATTATTCTGGGCCCGGATGTTAGACTCAGTACATAAAATATATTAAATGTTTAAATAAATATAAAAATAATTATATTGATATCATGAAACTTTATATTTCGTTAGTGTTATCAATTAACGATACTAAGCTATAGAAAAAAAAAAACAGATTAAAAAGCCCTGTATATAAATATTATTTTATGTTATATTGAATTAGGTGACTTGATCCTTTCTAGAATAGAAAATTTTATGGACTAATACAACTACAAAAGTATATATTTGTGTCTTGGATTTCATATCGAGACTCATATTCGATACAAATGTCAAATAATGCCATTCAAATTTACTTGTATGTACAATAATACATGATCTCAAGTTGAGCTTAACATTATCAATTGTTTCAAGTTAAGGCCCGCTTATCTAAGCGTCTCGTGAATTTAGCGAAGTTAGTGACGTAATGCATTGTATCAGATGTGATGCTATGATATATATTTAAAATGATATTCCATTTTTCAAATAATAAAATTCTACTTAAGTTTTTAAATTAAGATTAATTTTAGTACTACATATTTGTACTGAAACATTTCCACAGCCAAACTTTGAGGATTCTATAACTTTCTTTCAGTACAAAATACGTTTCATATAAAATAATATAAAAAAATTAAAACAAGTTTTCGCGTTTATATTTAAAATAAATTCCTATTTGAAAATTAGCACATTTTTTTATAAAACAAAATTAATAGGTTTAAGTGTATACTTTTCTACTTCATTTAGGTAATATTCATACTTCTTAAAATATTAAGAAAAGATAATTTTATAGAAGACGAAAAAAAAAAATTGAAAAAACTTACTTTCTGTTCCAGAGTCGGACAATTCTCTTGATTCTCGAAATAGAAGGGGTGTTCTGGATTAGTGTAGTCGTATCCCCACTCCTGGAAATGGTTCGCTATGTCGAACCCCCTGTAGTTGTACGCGCAGTATTCGAAATCTATCAACACCAATTTCGGCTCGCCCGAGTCCGAAACGTTGCTTATAATACTGTCCGAAGTGTTGGCGTCCTCGTAGCCCGAGACCGTCTCGATTTGTGTGAGTATATTCTCGGTCGAGCGTAAGTCGGACGACCTTAACTCGGGCTGTACATCGGTTTTGCACGTATGATTGTTCTCTTTGTCCGATTTCGGTGATTCCGTGCTACAACGTTGTATGTATAGTGTGGACACGTCGTCCTCAGAGTTTTGTACTACATCTTCAAGAAGGAGAATGTTGCCTAAAATAAAATAGATATTCTACTAAAAAAATATCGTAACTTTTAAGGTAGATTGTACTCATTACATAAAATATGATTTCATTTTCCTTTTTTACATAATGAAAAATGATGAACTAAAGTTTTTGTTATTCTACTAAAATTATTAATACAGGTTTAATAGTGCAAAAAGACATCATTTTGGGTTTAGAACGATCTGTTATATGTAGTTAGAACCAAATAATATGCCTCTCGCTAATGTAACTATCTGCCAACCTACAGTACGACAAATGGCGGTCAATCAGAATGATTCAAGTACCCTAAACATCCCGCTTCTGCTTCCAGAGTGTGACTTAAGACGGAAACCTGTGCGTTATATTCCATACTTTATGGTTATCGACACAAGACTTCTAGATCTGTTCTGTGTATACGAAGAATCAATATGCTCTCAACTAGTTGGATCTCACTCTACGTACGTGATATTCGAAGTTTGACCAATAGAGACTGTTCGGTGCATAACTGAACATGTAACATTGGCATATATCTATAGGTCGCCGGTTCATATCAGGCTCGAAGGACCATATGTTCGTGCCTGAGCTTGGTGGAATGTTACAATGATAAAATTGATTACGGAAATTATGATATATTTATTAAATGTTCACAAAATTAAAATATTAATTTACGATTTGACTCGTAGATATACAAAATGCAAATATTACACGTTCGCTTATACACCCAACAAAGACTATTCATGAAGGAAAGTGAAATTATTTGTAGTTACCATTTACGGTGCACTACTAGTGTAATATCTTCCTACTTAATTTTGATATAAGATTGAAATACTAAATTCAATAATTTTATCAAATTAGTGTAGTTATTAATATTATTACATACATATTCATAATTCTTACCTTCTTGTAAGTCGTTATGACAGAAGACTACTGGAGAGTCCACCATGGCTATGAACTTCTTCAGCCATTCAATTTCTTTCTCGAAGTCTATGGCCTTCAAACTTTTTATGATTTTCTGTTCGTCTTCATTCTAAAAAAAAGGAATGAATAATCTATACTAATATCATAAAGAGGAAAGATTTGTTTGTTTGTTTGTTTGCAACACATCACATCACATCACCAGCCCTTTTTACGTCCCCACTGCAGGGGTTCAGGCCTTCCTTATGGATGGTTGAGGAGGAGGATGGGCCATGACCCTCCACGCTGGCCCAATGCGGATTGGAGGGTATTAACGACTGCAAATGCAGCCGGGACCAACGGCTTAACGTGCCTTACGAAGCACGGAGTAGCTCGAGATAATAATTTTTTGGTCCCCATCCCGTGACCGACCCTTGCGAAAGTTGCTTAACGACTACGATGTTTGCAACAAACAGTTTCTAAAACTACTGGACCGATTTTTAAAATTCTTTTACCTTCGGGCTGGGTTCGTAGTTATCCAGATATCTTTTTTTTTCGATAATTATCAGTAGTTACTGGCAACAATATTTAAAATATAGAAAGGCATCTATGTTTGTGTAAACTTTTATTTTTTGTTGCTCTAAATTATAAAAACAAAATAAATAAAAAAAAAAATATAACTGCGAAATCACATTAAACAAAAAGTCAAATGAAAATATAAATAAATAAAAAAATATATATAAAAAGGGGGTTTTCAATTTTTATCTCTATCAGGAAGACCACATTCGATAGTTTGATGTAGTTAACACTACATATTTGTACTGAAACATGTAGTTAACACTACATCAAATGCTGTGAACATAGGCTATATTTTAAACAGCAAATACAGGGATGTAAATGAGACTGGAAGTTTGTATAGGGAATTAAAACGTTGACATATAAACCATTGTTTACAAGTATATCCGTGTTATGATGAAATTCTAGGTGCCACGCGGGCGGAGCCGCTGACGGAAAGCTAGTGGTTAATAAAAATGTATTTTATTTTTATAAGAGGCGCTCGATGGCGTAGTGTCACGGTGGTCCTTGCTGTATCGCCTATCATTCTACACTGGGTCCGTTAATTAATGGTCCACGCAAGTGCAGACCGTTAATTAATCGGGCTGTACAAAGGATTACCGCCCCAGTTAGGCTGATGATTTAAAAGTACCAGGAGAGCAAGAAGTATAAGGCAGTAAATAGAGATGTGCCAAGTGCTAGTAAAAAGACTCGTGTCTACTAATAGTCGAGAAATTAATTAATTACTTAAGAAAATGTCATAAGTGAAGCAGATATTTTCAACCAATAGACGAAAATTTGAATGAAGTAAGAACTGTTAATAGCTATAGTTTTTGCTATTAAGAGTTTTTACTTGTGTGCTGTTGTTAACACCCACCGATCCACACTGGGCCCCCCTATTTGTCTATCCTATAGGGATGATTTGTGTCGAGCAGGGTGATTAGTCAATTTGGCATGACAATAATAATTTTGGTCGAAAGGTACCAGGAGAGCATAACATACAAGGCTAGTAATAGATATAATATAAGGTACCTTCCCCTGCACGTTGCCGGCGAGTCTCTCCTCCCTCACGGTTCGCAGCCACTTGCCCATGGTCTTCCACAGCCAGTTCGGTTCCTTAGATAGGGGCACGTCCATTGAGTGAATGGCTGCCATCTTTTCAGCTATCTTCATAGATAAGGACGGCTCCGCCAGTTCTTTTGTTAATAGCGATCTCGCCTGGAAAAAATAATTAAGCCATTAGATTGCAAAAAAAATATTACATAAAAATAAGTTCAAAAGCTGAAACCCGACTACAGCTAAATGACGCTCTTAAAAGTTTGAAACAAGAAATTTATTTTATAGCGATTACTAAAGGACAGCGTAGTCGAATGATCGTAACAAAACAAACTGTTGTGGCAATAGAGGACGCTGTTGCTGATTCAATGTAATGTCAACTAAGACGCTTCTAATGACATCTCATTTGTTCAGTTACGATGAGTGAACATTCTGACATACATACATATTTACATACCGACTAAAATCATAACCGTCCTTTTCGCCTCACCGTCGTCGGGTATATACGAGGGTCAAACTGAAAGTTCTTAGAACTGGCCACTTATAAACAATATAATAAAAAAATAATTCTAAAATTTGAAAATATAACTCTTTGCCAATATTACTGAGTATATATTTCATTCATTTGTCATTTGTTTTACGATTTGGCGGCAAATTGAAAATTGTCTGTGTCACGTCATCATGAATTTAACACGAGAAAATTTTCGTGCAATGATTTTTTATGACTTTCGATGTCATTTAAGTCAACAAGAAAGTTATGATAGACTACGATTGGCCTTTCACGATGAAGCCCCATCTCGTGCGACTGTTTACAACTGGTTTAATGAGTTTAAACGTGGTCGCACTAATCTCACTGATGATTTACGTGAGGGACGGCCTTCTACGGCGACGACTGAAGATAACATCTGTGTTGTGCGGCGTATGATAGAGACTGACAAAAGAGTGACCTATCAACAGATTCGGACAAGCTTAGGCATCGGTATGAGTCAAGTGCACAAAATCCTCCACGAACATTTAGCGGTCAGGAAGCTTTGCGCCCGGTGGATACCTCATAATTTGACTGAGGCTCAAAAACTCCATCGTGTGGATTGGTGTCGTAAAATGATTGAAAGATTTAACGGAGGTGACTCAAATGCTGTGTTCGACATACTAACAGGTGACGAAAGCTGGATTTACTGTTATGATCCTAAAACCAAAAGACAATCTGCTCAGTGGGTGTTTCCTTTCGAGGAGTTGCCAACTAAAGTGAAGAGAGATCGAAGTGCGGGAAAAAAAATGGTGGCCTCGTTCTTTGGAAGGATAGGTCATTTTGCAACAATTGTGTTAGAGGATCAAAAGACAGTTTCTGCAGAATGGTACACTACCAATTGTTTGCCACTTGTCTTGGAAAAAGTTCAAGAGAAACGACCTCGCAGTAGGATCCTCCTTCACCACGACAACGCCTCGTCGCACACCGCCAAGCGAACGATCGACTATTTGGCGACATCAAACGTTGAATTACTGGGTCACCCGCCGTATAGCCCCGACCTCGCGCCTTGTGATTTTTATTTATTTCCAAAAATTAAAGAAAAACTTAAAGGAAAGCGGTTTATGAATGCTGAAGAAGCGGTGGCTGCGTATCGCGATGCCATTGAAGAGACCCCTAAGGACGAGTGGGCAAAGTGCTTTTCCCAGTGGTTCCATCGCATGCAGCGGTGTATTGACGTGAATGGACAATATTTTGAAAAGATATAATAAAACTAATAACTGGCTAATGTAATCAGTTTTTGATTTTCTAAGAACTTTCAGTTTGACCCTCGTATACGTTTTAGAAATATGAGTACATAAATTCGTTCTTGACTTTTACTGTCTATTTAACCGAAAAAAAACAGTATGACATTTCAAAGCATATGTGTATTTTTAAATTGAATTAGAAAAAATATAACCTAAACATAAAGGACACAAAAGTATAGATTATCAGGGCTTGCAAACCGGTAAATTTTTTGAACCAGTTCCATATAAAGTTTTTTTTACCATTATATTTAAAAAATTGAACCGTTTCGAGACCGGTATCAATTGGAAAGTACTTAAAGCTTTAGGTAGAAAGAAAGTATAATATAAAGAAAATTATATGATTTGAGCATTGTGCACAGTGTAGTATAGTACCAGGGCGGCATGAGTGAGGCGGTGGTGTTATTGTGGAGCTCACCGGGATGTACTCCTCGATCCTGCCGCCGGAGAACACGCCGTGCAGCTTGGGCCCGAGCCGCCGCTCCGACAGCAGCGTGAACACGACCGACTCCGTCACTATCGCGTCTATGGCGCGCTCGCCGTGCACCTGCCCGTATATCCTCAGCAACACCTGGCGCAATATTACAATATCATCTCTCCCCTGTTAGGGCTAAGGCGAAAAACGAGCGGCCCAATGCGCATTGGTGAGGATGAACAAAAGTTGAGCGTGGCTTCCGAAACACGAACTACCTAATTTATAATATTATAAATGTGAAAGTTTCTTTGTTTGGATGTTTGTCCGTCTATCACGCCGAAACTACTGAACGGATTTTGATTAAATTTGGTATACAGATAGGGTATAAGCTGTCTTAGATAATAGGATACTTTTTATCCCACTAAACATTTCCCTAGGGTCCCGCCGAAGCCACTGGCGATAGCTAGTTTATAATAAATAAAAAGGTTTTAAGACATAGGAGCATTTAAACGTATATGTAATCTATTTTGCATTCGCTTACCTTTCTCGGTTCTTCAAAAGAGAAAGAATTAGATCTCCCGATATTCTTCTTTAAGAACCTGGAGGTTATAGTGACTGATTCGTCTTCGTCGGGGGAGCTCTCTCTTGGATTGTACTTGTTTAGATGAGTCGTGTCTTCTGGGAGAGCAACGTAGTAGAGGAAGTTGGACAGACCGCCGCTGTAAGAGAAAACGAAAATAGAATTACAGATTTTCAGTTCACTTTGGAATCATAATATTGGTGGCAAACCTGTGGGACACACTTGACTAAATATTGATTAAATTTTTGTATACAACTGGGAACAGAAGTAAACTTATTATATCTGTACTAAAAATATAAAGAGATATAAGTTTCTAAGTTTGTTTGTTTGTAAGGGATAACCTTCGGAAATACTGTGATTCGCTTATGAACATTTTATCACCTATGTACTTACGGCAGGCTAAATCATACGTCATCCGCGTATGATTAATTTATAGGAGAACAATTATATTTCTTTGATTACATGTGATGTGAGATTAGAAACGGTGGTATCTAAAACCTCAGATATATTAATACTATATTAGAAAATTAAAGTTACAGATTTTTATGTAATAATTTTGATCAATCAGTGTAATCGGTAGTTTTAAAAACCATTTTTTTTTTGAGATTGTAAATAACAAATATTTTGCAATAATTTTATTATTTTTGCAAACATTTACATAATTATAGCTAAAATAAAATTTATTATTACTGTGAATTTCGTATTTAGATATTAACAAACTTGAGTATGACAATTATAATAATGTTAACAACAATTAATTAACAATAAAGATGATATGTAAACAATAATAAATAACGTGACATAGGATATTGACTTATAGTTAATTAAATGTAACTGTAATGAAAAATAAATTAAATTTAATATGACTATGTAATTATATCAATATTAGCATGCTGTTGGCTAAATGGGCTGAACTCAAATTGTATTCCAACCTACAATGTACCTCAATTAAAAGCAAATAAATTATTATTTTTATTATTGTTTAGATAAAACTTGTCCAAAAATATAAAACTACAACCTCGCGTTATGAGCCATTTAAATGTAAATTTAATGCAATTACAATGTTAACAATATGCACGCACATACTGCAGCAAAATTATGTTACCACTATTTTGAACTTAAATTTCAACATGCCAAGGTTTAAAATAATTTGCCGAAAATAAGTTAAGATAAGTTTATTTGCTGTAAGTCTGCTTACGATAATATTTGTCAATTATAATTAGATCACAGGGAATCGCCAATATATATTCATTTTATAAATTTTAAAGTAACCTCGTTTATTTATTTTAAATATTATTCAAGCCAAATTATGAAACTTAATTTTAATTTTATTACCAAATAAAAATATTAATTCGCAATTAATTTATTGGGTATTACTATAATGTTTGTCTTGATTTTGTCCTATAATTTTGTGTACACAACTTGACACGCTACATATTTCAATGCGACTGCTACTTTTGTTTATTTTTTTTAAGTTATTATACATCTGTTTTGTACGAAATAAATAATTAAAAAAAAACGAAAAATCACATAAAGAGTCGCATGCAAAATATAATGTTGTGTTTATAATAATAAACCTTCTATTGATGAGCGATTATCGATATGTAAGTATATTATGTGAAAAATATTTAGGTTATAGGAAAAACACGACAGCAACGCCTCGATAACTATTAGGTATAAATATTCACAGATAAAATAAAACGAGTGGGCACGTAGTAAAATAATCTAATCTATCAATGACTATACTTATGCGTTACGAACTGCGTGGAAAAAATATACTTGTCCGCAAATGACCGTGGCCAAAGAAAACAAACACCGCTGTGATTTACGTACAGATAAATATTTATAAATAAATAAATAAAGTTACTTGATTTATTATTGTATAATTAAGTAAAGGGTAATAAGCTTCTTGATTCGTTTGATTTATCTGTAAAAGATCTCAAAGGTTCAAACAAATAATAGAAAAAACAAAAGTCTTCTTTAATCTTTGAACTTATTTATATTTTTAAATACAAATTTATATTTAAAAAAATTAATAAGTTCAAAGATTAAAATGAAAGCGGGTGAGGCGAAAAATTTACCATACGTAATGGCGTTCGGTCAAATGAAATGTTATGTTTTGAACGTTGAAAGAATAGCTATAGCAATAAGCTTAAATTAAATATCAAATGTATATACCCCGCGATCCCGTCTCTCTATCTAGCAGAATATCGATGCTCCAAAACTTATTTGGCATAATATTCTTTTAATAAATGCTCATAAGGCATAAAAAATTATCAATTAGTCAAATATTTGGTTTTCGGAATTTACAAGTGTACATATCACTACGGGATGTTGGCTAAATTTCCGTGTATAACGGAACAAGTCCATATTGAAAAAAAAAGTGTACATATTGTTAATATTATAGATTTTTTTGGCATAAAACTTTGAGAAAATTTAATTTCGTATTAAAGAATACATTTTGAATATTTACTGACAATCTTTAAAAATAAACTGATATAAATAAATAAATGTACGCCGTAAGACTATTCCGACTGTGAACTTTCTGCGAAATTATGGTTTTATTTTTTAATTATAAAAATGATTGAAAGATGATTCGGTCTATCAACCTTACGACTTATCAATGTACAAAAATAAATTTTTTTTTTTTCTTTAAAATTTAGTTTATGCCACAGAACATAGAGAGAGATTAGAAGTATAATGATATTAATTTAGTATGGGAACCGAGTGTCGCCTCTCCGCACACAAATACAGATTAGATGAAATGATCATTGTGTTCACTACATGAAAAACCGCCACGCGATAGGTTCGCGATAACATAAATCAAATCCCAAAAAGATACTAAGCTAAGAAATCACACGATTAAAAACAAACTCTAATTCAACGTGATAATAAATAATTTACTTTAACATGAATGTTGAACTGTCACGTGGCTGTATATGGGGATACCAGAAGGAAAAAAATATTTTAAGATTATGCACATTTAAAAAAATTGGGGTCATCATTTTATGTGCGAACTATTAATATTAGATTTTGCTGTAACCAAGTGAATACTGAATAATTAAGGCTTTTCCCTACATAATTTATTAAAATATCTTTTAAAAAACGCAGTACAAAAACTAAGAAAACTTAATGATACACTCTATCGTATGTCTGTGGAGTAATATAATTAAGCGAGGGAAAGTGTAAAAAAAAAAACAAAAATTAAGAAAACTACAGAATTTTTGTATTAATTACATTAAGCCTAATTTGTATTTTTTTCTTACTGGTATCATTCCGATTGTGCATATTAGTGATGTGACATATTAGTTGATAAAATAAGAGCTTTAAATTTGGTTATGAAACAGTTCAATGTAATTCAGTTCGACAATTTTCTACAGTGGTTTGATAGTAATTATTTAAAGCTTTATTCAAATAAAACGAAATACATAAAGTTTGCATTACCTAATGTGAGGCATGTTAATATACTTATAAATGTAAATAGTGAAAAAGTTGAGATGGTGGAATCGACAAAGTTCCTTGGTATTTTGGTATATTGATTATTTGTCAAGTAGACTGAGTTCTGCAGCATTTGCTGTTAAGAAAATTTGACTCTTAACAAATGTTGAAACGGCAAGATTGGTATATTTTAGTTATTTTCATAGTGTAATGAATGACGTATAATCTATTGTTATGGGGTTCTGCGGCTAGCATTCAAAATATTTTTATTCTACAAAAGAGAGCTGTCCACGCTATATATAATTTACGGTCTAGAGAATCTCTCAGAGAAATATTTAAAGAAATAAATATTTTGACTGTTGCCTCTCAATACATCAATGAAAATATTATGTATGCAAGAAAACATTACGATTCCTTCACAAAAAAAGAAATAAAAATAAACTTGCGATTCCAAGTGCTTGTAATAGCCTTCTTGAATAAAGATATTTTCATTTCATTTCATAATAACTAATATGATCATTACACTAATAAATTGATCATAGCCATGTTTGTTTTACTTTATTATTCTAAGTTTTATATCTGTAATAATAGTAGTAGCTACATTATTAATTGCAACGACTGGACAATAAGGAATTGCTGGTCAAGTATGAGTTTGAAAGCCGTGACAAAAAAAGTTTGAAGATAGACACAAAAGCTATAAGTACGTACAAACGTCAATCTACATATAAAGTCACATCCGTTTGAGACATGCGTCTATAAACTTATGTGCAAATATGGAGCAACAAAAAAACTGATAAAAGCTGTTCTGTGGGCGGTTCTTTAAAGTGGCTTTCTTAACTCGATTTCTATAATAATAGTTTCCGATTATGAATCAGCATAATAAGGTAAATTAAATTGACGCCTAAAAATTAATTTTGTAAATTAAATTCACACCACCAACAATATTACGTTAGTTGAAAACATAATTTTTTGTTTGTATAGATATTATGTTTTGAAATTCATTTGATAGGTTTAGGTCTAAAACAGATAGGGCAAAATTAATTATGTAAACAAGGCAATCCGTTGTAAAGTTATTAGGGAAACTGAAATATAAGTAATGCAAAATAAGTGAAATCCAGTTTCACCAGTTTCTAACAAGACCTATTAGGCCAACTCTTAGCTTTTCACGAAGTTTCGTTTAATTTATGTATTGTTCATAAAACGGTGATATACTTCATAACTTAGATATTTATAGCACATCAGTAATTTTTAATATTTATCTGCGTGTAAATAATTAACCAAATCTTCGTAAAAAAAGTGCCTGGACAGTTCATTATTTCATTTGTTCAGTATCAGTTCATCTATAATTTTCCCTTGTAAACAGTATTTTTTAGTTTTATATAATTATGGCATATACTTATCCATAACGTTGTTATGAAATGATGAAAGAAAAGCTCTAAATAAATATGTTTTAGTTATCGATTACGATCCATATAATTAACAATACGATTCCGAGCAGCAGCAGCCTATCGGTACATTTCAGACAAATGGAGGCACAGCACTATTTTTTGCAAAAGTGCACAAAATGATTTACATTGCTGTTTAGTAATGGGGTCAGAAACATTGATGTTGGTTTGAGCAATCAATGTATATTTTATTTAACATTGTGTCAAATTATTACGTTTTTTATATTTTAGCACTAAAATTGTACTTACCAGTGAAAGGAAATGTTTGCATTAGTTAGATTGTATACTTTGCTTTGCTTTTTGCAAGTGATAATAGCACAAAACGGCATTTTTTATAGAAAAAATCTGTAAAATCACCACTCGACGATTGACGAACGACTGGCAAACATAAAACCGAGGAAAGGGCGTCATATGAGTAAAAGCGCATATGCCAACGACGCGTGCCCCGCCCACTTACTACTTCTATTCTCTCTCTATGTTCTGTGGTTTATGCTATTAGATGTAATATGTTTTTGTAATTACCATTCTGACATTGATAGGTACAATGCACATTGTTTAACAAAATACAAACTTTCTATTTGGAAAATAAATAAATGATATGTCATTCATTGAATCTAAATTAGACTACATAGAGTAACCTCAACTTGTATACGAGACTAAGTTCAATGTTGTTTCTATAAAAAAACTTAAACGGTAACACAATATAACCTTCTCTGTCTTACACATATCAACGTTGGATTAAAATATTTCTTCCTCAAAGCTTATTTCTTTTTTCTTACAGAATTGTATAGCAAAAAAGTTGATTGAAACTATTTCTTAGCAAACTTTTTCCAAGTATACGGTAGAAAAAGTTAATTTTCAAACGTCGAATGAGACTTTTTATAAAGAAACCTACACAGATAACAAAATCCATAAAAGAAGCAAATAATGGAAAGAGGTTTTTGTTGGATTTTAAGTAGAAATATAAAACCGCTTTGTTGTTGTTTGCGTGGACCAAGTTCTAGACTTTTTGCGACAATTCTTTTATTGTACATTCGATATTTACATTTTTTGCTCGATTAACCGTTCTAGAAACTTCATTCTGAATAAGTTTTTGTGTGAATTTGATTTACTATGAGCTTGGGATTACGTAATAATCTAGTCTTTTTCGTGAGTTTTGTAGAAAAACTTAAAAAGCAAAAAATTCTGTTTTGTATTATTAGATCGCGGCCATGGATTCCGAGTTACAACACTAACATTGAGTTGAAGTTATGTTTATATGTACATATACGCGCTACTTCATTAAAAATTTTCGTATAGTTATGTAAACAAGAAATTTATAATGTCAACTGGAAAACTTATAATGAATTTGGATTGAAAGATTTTGTCAAGTATAAATAGTGCGATGAAAATTTTTTATACATTGTTAAAAAAATATTCCAAGAATATAATAGGTATTGATTTGCTATCAGTCCTCATTGGAAAAACAATATGACAATTATGTTTTAGAATACAGGTATCTGTAAAATAGTAAATTTGTAGCGTAGTGTAAGCTTGTAATTGTTGTTTCATTCATGTATGCCGTTCCCGCTACATCTTATGGTTTACGCCAGTGGCCTTCAAGGTCGAATGTTGTTTATTTACATTTTTTGCGCACAAAATATATTTTATTACAGTGATCTGCGCGGTCTGCTCCGTGTACGTGTTATAATGACACGTTTTCAAACACATGCAAGAGTTACAAGAGTATTTTTGAATCAATCGTTGTTTTTCAACATCAAAATTTTTATTATAACTCCGATGAATTTAGTTGTGTGTTTTTTACATACATCAGTATACATTTTCACACAATTTGTGTTACAACGAGGAAAGATTGGATTGTTTGTATGTTTGTTTGTTTGCGTCGAAAAGGCTCCGAAACCACTGGACCGATTTAAAAAATTCTTTCACCTTACGGGCAGTTACACCATACGGGGTTGACTGGGGAAGCTATAATTTACACGTGTGAAGTCGCTAGAAAACAGCTACATGTTTATAAAAGAGGAAGGATAGGGGCACATATGAATGTTTGTGCGCTAGTCTCTCGTAGAGGTAAAAGAATATAGCGGTGTACTGGATTTAATTGAATTTCTACAAAAGACCGTTCTAAAAAAGACTTAGGTATACCAATATGTTTTTATAATTACCGTTTTGACATTGGTATGTACAATGCACATTGTTTAACAAAATACAAACTTTCTGTTTGGAAAATAAATTAATGGTTTGCTTTCGAGATGTTTTTTACAAAGAATTATTTTTTTTCATCTTTCTTAGTAATATATGACTCATACACCGCTGTGTATATATGTATTTTATCAATGTCACTTACTATGTGTAAATAATTGTTCACTTTCCACGTACATTCAATACGATAAGAATGATTTCACAACACTTTATTTACATATATATTCGTATTAGTAACGTATAATTCCAGTATCATTAAAATTACATATGGAAACTTTGACATGACGTATGTTCGTAGAAACCACAAGCATTATTTGTAAAGAATATGATAAGTGGAGAATAACAGTGATGTTAGGTATATAGTTGATCTACAAATACAATACCGTTTATTGCTTATAATTTAGCTGAATAATACCGTTATTAAACAATATAGTTTTATTTAAAAAAAAAAATTATATTTAAAAAAGAATACGCATTAGGTACTAGGAGATCATAAAGTTATACCATTCTTGTGTTACAAAGTGGACGTCATAGGATCTATAATTGCACATAAAAAAGGAGCCAGGCAGGTGACTTTACAGATTGTACTACTTTCCATCATAGAAAGTTTTCCTTACGCTTTGATACTGAGAACAAGTCGAATATCAAACAAATTCATTTATAAAAACTATAGGGAGGTCCATAAAATAATAAGAGCAAATTATGGATCAAGTATGTTACGGATGACAATAGATTCTGGAATATAGCGTTATTTAATTTAGCCATAATTGGGCTATCGATGTTTAAACTTAAAATAATTACATTCGATTCTCTGTTAGTTATGATTGGACTACTTATTGTTAATTGATATTATGAGAGATTTCAAGGCTATTTAATAGCAGTCACACACGGTAGAAGTAGTAAACTGACCTGATACGTTTAAAATCCAGCTGGGTAGGGTCGACACTCTTCCATGCGCCGTGCAGGTAGTTCCTGCAGATCCTGGCTGCCACCTCACGCATCTCCTCCTCGGTACCGCACATTTGCAGTTTCTGGAAAACAATATTGATTCTCTTATGAAATACAAGGGTTCGAGTCCCATCTCAGAGTGCCAGGGAGAAAGTGGATGGTTAAGCATTTTTCTTTAAGAATATTTTTAGATATATCACTGTAAATGCGAAATTGATAAATATAATAATAATAGCTAACTTTAAGATTTGTCGCTTTTTATTGCATGTGCAAAGTGGTCCTTCGAGCCGGATGTGTACCAACAACCTATGCATATGAAGTGCACGTTAAAAGTTTTATATTATACAAACGGCTTCTAGAATTATAATTTAATTAAGTTGTCGTTGTATCTTCGTTGAATTCTGAAGGTGATACATCTATTGATTAGTCTATCAATAGCATTGGAGTTTTGCAATACTGTTGTTATTATCAATTTTAGGCATTTATAATACGATAGCAGATCTCGATACGACACACAGCATATTTGAGGCCACGACTTATCACGATAGCATCGATATACTCGCTATCAACACAAAGTTACCTTCCAGTTAAGGTTACTAAAAAATCGTAGGTAACTATGTTTTTAATTTATAGAAAATAAAATTATTGAGCAATTCTATTTCTTTTTTGCAGTTGTAAATAATCGGTAAATTATCGATATATTGGTATATTGAATTATTATTTTTTAAATTGCATTGTTTATTTCGTGTGGTACATTAAAATAAATTTTATGTCGATTTTCAATGAAAAATTCTGTTTTTTTTTTTACATAAATACAACAATTATTTGTTTTTGAGATATATATGTATGGATAGTAAAAAAATTGGATAACTATTAAGTAGTTTACTGCGAACGTGCTGCCACACACATCCTTATCATAACTTTATTATCAGAAATATAAAAAAAAAAACTAAGAAGATTATTATTTAATAGTTTTTATACTCATTTTTAAACATATGTAAGTAGATAGAATTATCAAATTTAAAGTGCCTATATACATTGATAATAAACGTAATAACATTTATAAAATATGATTACTTATCATTGAAGATATTTCTACTTTTCATTCAAGGTTTTAAGCGAAATACGTTGAAGTATGCGAAGCATTTTAAGATTACATTTTGTGCATAAAAAAGACTCGCCCATGCATTCCTCTAGTGTTTGGCAGGTCCTTTACTGTACACTCAGCTCGCTTGTGGAACGAGTTGGTGGATGTTTATTGATCAAAATTTGTTTTAATTGAATCAGAATTTTCAACAATTATAGAGTAGACGGTTAGATTGCTATCTTTATTGCACAAATAATTAATCACTTGGCTACAAGCAATTTAAATGAAATTCTGAGACAATTGATAAATTGTTGCAATGAGTGCAATCAACGTAATTATAGGTGTTTGCTGCGTTCATTAACAGCAGAGGCATATTAATTGATACCACAAAGTGGTTATCTGTACACTGAGTCTATACATAAACAATCATTAGAAGACATCAGAGGTTACAGTTTAGCATCCCTAATGCATATAATCTTCCTCTATTATTATGCTAGCCCGGTGCTTTCATTAAGATAAAACATATTTTTATTCCTTAGATCATTGAAATTACTAGCTTTCTGCCAAAAGCTCTGTCAATGTACCTAGGGAACCATTTAGTAGTGTAAAAAGTAGCTATTTAAATAAAGCTATATGTTAAACCAGGCTCACAATTACCAAATATCAAATCTGTTCAATAGTTTTTGCACAAAAAAGTAACAAATATAGATACATATGTCAATCCTTGAAGACACATGAAAATTTGTCATAGGAAGGATCTAATTTGTGGACAACATAGGACATTCGGGGATGCCACAGGAACAATACCATTGGTTTATTTTAACGATGCCATTGACTTTACAGAAGCTACAACAATTGTTATTCAAGTGCTGAGTAAACACACACTATATCACAAATACTTCAAGAGATATGCTTATGTTTAGCAGAGTTGTGTCTAACCAGTTATCAGCCATGTTGGGGTGGCTATAATGATAACCTCTTACTATGAATCGTCATGTTAGTATTTAGGAAAGGAGTTTGAAAGTAAAACTAAAAGAGTGCCAATACTGAATGAACTTCTTTGCTTGCTCTAACAAATGTTCTAAATTTTAAAATTTATATAGCTTTCATCTAATTAATATTATAATGGATGTTTGTGCAACTGGGAGTTATCTCCCAATTGGCTTGTAAACAAACAATATAAAAAGAAAAAATAGAATTATGGTATCCTATTAAATTGGATGTTGTGTATGATTTCTTCAGAAAGTCTATTTTGGTATTTGAAAAGGAATAACACCACCATAGCTAATAAATTCATTGGTCCTGAATATAAAAATCATATTTAAAGATTTATAAACATTTCATTGAATTAATAATAAATCAATAATATTTAGAATTGAAGCACATATAAATTAAAATAGTAATGACACAATTAAAATCATTGACTTGTTATTGACAGAACCTGTAAACCAAAATCTATAAGAACAAGTTAGCAATAAGTGATAATTACCTAAGTGATCAGATAAAAAGATCATTTTTTTTCCAAAATATCATATAATTTAATATTTCAGTTTTTAATTTATTTTTAATTAACATCTATGTATGTATAATGTGCAAGTAAACTAGAATACGTACAGAAATTACTGTCATGTCAAACGCAAACAACGAACTGACAAACATTTGCATATTATTATAAGTACATCACATCACTACATAAGATAAATGATGAGTAATTTTTAGATATAAACATAATTTCAGATAATATTTTAACTGAAGATAATTTACTAATCTGAGTCTCCCAGTTACTAAGCTGAGGAAAACTCTGCATCAAGGAAAATCTCTAATAACAAATTGCGAGTAATAGGTTATCACAAAAAAGTAACGTTTAGATAAAACGAAATATTTGGCAAATAAAAATATTTCGGTACAAACAGGATGTAGGAGATGCAGTACAAAATTATTATAAAAAGAGATCGTAGGAAAATGATTTGTTGATGTTAGTATTTCTAAGGTATAAAGTAAGTTGTTTAACTTTGAAATCAAACCTAAAAATCGTCTAAATTTCGTATAAAGATAACAGAATTATATTGGTCCAATGTATTGCTCAATGAAAACGTACCCAGTAACTGTTTCTATTCATTTCCAATAACCTCTTGTAGGTGTTTTTTGCTTGGAATATGATTTTTTTTAACAAATTAGACATTAATACAAGGCAAATTCAAGTTTACAAAAAATTAATATCCCACATGTCACTTTGACGTTTGACACTGATGACATTTTACTATTGCACAGAGTTATTGATTTTTCTTGAGAAAAATGTTGCCTACATAAGCAAAACAAAAAATTACACAGTATTTTTAATAATAAGAATAATGTTTAGAAGTTCCGTGTTATCTAACTTTGCCGGATATTATGAACGTACGGTGATTTGTTTATGTAGATAATGTAGGTATTGTTATGCATCGTAAGTGATGATTGGACAGATTGGTGGTTTAAAACCAGGATTTCGTGATCACAAAGTAGTTATCTTTACATTAATACATTTTTTACTTAAGATTTGATCATTCAAATCTTAAGCAAATCATATTTTTTAAATAAATATTGTAACGATAAGAGTATGCTATTAAGCCCGCCAATTAACGTTGTAATAGTGCAATTAAATATAAATTAGTTTCTTACTATGTGTCAGTAGATGTTCCGATCACGAAAAATCTTTTCTATGGAGAGCTACGTTATACACGGGTGCTATAGGCTATAATTTACGCGGGTGAAGAACCGGGAAAACGGCTAATAAGGTAAATAGTGTTAGTTAAAAACAAAGTGATCTTGTGTAAATTTTAAAACAGTTAATAATCTTGAAATGTAAAACTTTAACTAGTTTCATAAAGGAATGTCAGTTCGCTGAATCATTTTGAATAATTTCGTTTTATAGTTAGTTATCTTAGCACGTCACCGGGTGGAAGGATTTGCAAAATAAAAAAGAAATATTACTCATTAGAATACACAGCATCACACAAAGTTTGAATACCTTAGCCATTATTATAGTTGTCCCTTGTGTTAATCCAAACAAATAATGTTTATTCTTTAAAAATCTCTTCTTCAAAATAGCGAGTTTTTATTTCACGTAATACGTCCACACTTCACGAGTTATAAATATGTACTGGCATGATCACAAAATGCCAGAGACGTACGGAAATTCGATAGGGTCGTACGATATCGTCTATAGTGAGTTAGAAAGAGAAAAAAATGCGAGTATCCACGATCGATGACGGAGTTTGACGAATACAGCCTTGTTGTTTGTATACGTCACACACAAAAGTTGCTATTTATTTGTTTACTATGAATGTGCTGATGTGTCTCATATAAGTGATCTTAAAATGAATTAAATGCAATAAAACGTCAAATAGTATATTAATTTGGGATGCAAACGCTGAAAGCAGTCAAACAAACCGACTATATACAAAACAGTAAATAGTGAATAAAGTATTTTGTGTGCCAAACAAAGTTTATGAACAAGTCAAATTTTCAAGTCTAATCATCAATGCGGTCCGTTTTTAGCACTCAGGTTATAAATAACGTGGTTAGCTGTTGTAGATTATGATTGAGAATGATTCCAAGAAAAATATTATGTTGTAAGTAAAATTCGTGTTCAACATCATATGAAAAATCTACCTATCTTCAAAATAATGGTCATGAAAAATTCATAACGGTACAGAATACCACACCGGTAAATGTTCTAGGTATAATATGGCTTTGTAATTAATTATCATTAATTAAATAATTTATCTACTGTATTGGTACGTTAGTAATCGTTTGGAATTCTACTGGTGCATTATATTAACTATCATATTAAAGTACTTTAGATCCGCTGAGTCTGTGTTATTATTGATATGTGATAAAAGATTCATTAATTATATAACATTATAAGTAATATAAAGTTTACTCCCCGTTGTGGCTAAGTCGGATATGTTTATGTAAAAGCTTTGAGGTAAAAGCGTAAAAATAATAACATTCTTTTAAATTTTCTGGGTATAAGTGAATTTAATCTACAGTTTAAGAAACATGACTCGCAAAAAACCCATTTTAGATAGGATTTTAGTCTTCTTGCCTTAACTATCAATGTGGGTTAATATAAAGCTAACAACTGTCATAATAACTCAAATGTTGATAAACATAATATAGAATTTTCTTAGCACGTGTTCTTCCATCACAGATGTTATCAAATGTATTGATATATCACCTGTATATCTAAGTGGTATGATTTAATGTATAGATTCTAGATACAGGAATGCATAGCAACTGATACTAGAAGATCTGACACTGGAAGCCATAAATCATCCTTATATCTTAGTCATCTTGTATAGTTAAATAAAAATAGTTTACTAGATTGTTTTGTGCATAGACTAATATACGCTTAAATACTATAAGATACTATGCTTTTTACCCTAATAATATCTAAATATTATTCCTGCTTTAATTTTTTTCTATACATATCTATGGGCTGTTATCTAAACCTTTAAGCACTAACTTTCACAGGTTCTAACTCTGCATTCATGCCTGTTCCCTTAAATTTTGGTATCGGGTGTCTTCATATGTCGATGTTCGTCATGTTCACCACCATCTTAATTACCTATTTCATCTTTTTATTGGTTATACTTTCTAACCTTCCAATTCATATTCGGGAAGCGAGATGAACATTTAAAAAATACTCAATGGCTACAGGTTTCCTTTTGTGCAAACACAGCCTTGTAAAAGGTTAAGGTGTTTTGCATTTTTGGACAACATTGTCCTCATGACATAGGTACGACTGATACTAGACCTAAAACAAAATTTTCAAAAATATAAACGCCAAATAAAACTCCCGATTAATTAGCCACTATTTATATCACAGAATCGCGGGGCTAAACACCGTTCCCTTGAAATATCAATGCAATGTTATACAAACGCAGGGAATTAAACAACATTTTACTGTTGAAAGACTTTATATAATAGTGTGGACGCTAATAATTTTCAGAATTCAATAATGTATTCGACCCAATAAATCTGGTAGCGTGTGAAGTAGTAACGTCAAGGTCTATAAATATAGTATAGGTTGACCTAGAAAGTATTTTATTCTTCCATTCCATGCGGTCGTAATGCAGTATTGATTTTCCGCCAATCATTCAACGTAGTGTTGTTTAATAAACGTACAAGGTAGAGCTACGGCTTTATCTATCATGAATGTCTCTACTTCCTGGAAGCCAAGAAAATTGATGCAAATATTTATACGATACAGACTCATACAGATGTTTGGGCGAAAATTTGAAGACCAACGTATATTTAACATAACATTCGACTACAAAGGCCGGATCAATAATATCGGATGGAGTTTATTATTAGTCTTCAAAGAGTTCGGATGCTTAGCATAATTTTAACGCAAACTAAAGAAAACCAGGAATATTGAAATAAATTCATAAAGATATTATTGATTACTTTGTACGACACCAACAACTTGGATTTTGACATATCTTTATCGTTTCGGAATTCGTTATTGATCCGTTTTCGTAATATTCTTTAAGATTCGTCCATTTCCATTTATGCATTTATACATATGAATAATTGAGTGTACTTACAGCATTTGTTTTTAAAACAAATTAATAGCCTATACATTAATTGATACATTGAATGCTGTATTTATTGATTCCGTCTCTCTGTGCTTATTGTGGACTGGATGACGGGATAAACGACTTGTGCGCTTATCATGGTTCTAAGTTCACATGCCTCATATGAGTAATATCAAGATACAGTCAACAGCACGTCAGGTTAACTGTCCAATCGTTCCGTTTTATTTCAAACCTTAATGCATTGTAGCTATAGTTTAAAATAACTGCGGAAATTTGACAAATTGTGGTAAGACCAACACGAAAAGTTAATGATTTATCAATAATAATGTCGTGTTTTATATTGTTTCGTTTCACAAAACTATATTTTACCATGAAATGGTAAGCATAGGTATTGTCAATTTTTCAAGCATCTGATCTGAATAATACATTTATTTCAAGAAAAATTATTGTAAGGTATTAGAAAAAGCAAAAGTAATTAATTTGTCTTATACAACATTCTACGTTTAACAGACATTACCAATGACGTCGTACCATTCAAAAGGCTCCTCTGGTTTAAGAATCGATTACTGCGCGTCATCGCCCAGAATAGTGCTCTTAACTCTAATTTGAATAAAACAAAAAATGTTCCATAAAGTACCTAGTATGAATAATAACAAAGTATGATACAAATTGATATTTTTAATATGAGTATGACAATTTCGTTAATAATTTTTGCACCAGTTAAATTTTATAACATATAATAAGTATTTCCCCGGCACTAACAATGGAGTAAATAACATAAATTTTATTTATTTATGATAGCAATAATATCTATACAATATAAATAACAAATTATAGATCGTATTTCTATGTACAGTCTGTTTCTCCAATAAAAAGTACTTAAGCATCACTATACTAACGGACGTATAAATATTTGTGACGTAATTTAATTATTATTTAATGTCCACTTTATTTATATGGTCGGATTTGGCAAAACGGAAAATTTTAAGAAATATTTTATTAAATTACCTATTAATAGTTTCACCTAAACACTAATGATTACTTGTGGAATATTATTATAACTTGCAATTAATTTTTATAAAACTTAATTAGTAGGTACTGTAACCTACTCGGATTGAAAGTAAACCTAAATGAGGAACTTTTGTGTATATAGATTTAGTAATGTTAATCGCCCGACTTTTGTAGAAGTTTCTTGAAAAGGTTGGTATATGTAACCGTTTTGTGGATAAGTATTGAAATGAAATGAAAATATCTTTATTCAAGTAGGCTATTTTTTTTTTTTTTTTCCCGCTTTCTCCCACTTAGTAGCAGGCCCTTTTTCTGTCTATAGTTCTCATTCATTCAAGTTCTCGCTGGTAGTAAGTAGGCTATTACAAGCACTTTTGAATCGTCCAAAAAATGTTTTTTCCCCTACCACTTGTTCAGGACGTCTTTTGGCTGACAAGAAGAACAAGCGAAAGAAACTTACCAGCTTTTTATCATAAGTAATGACATTTACATAAATCATGTCATTACCACATTACCAAATTAATATGTTTTATCACAATAATAAATACAACTTTCAAAGTCTGTAGGACATAGGTTGAACATATAATTAGTCTTTATAGAACAAAGCGAAAGCTATTAACTCCATGCATTGCGATCCTTAAAATAATCATCAACTTTATAATAGCCTTTACTCATAAGTATATTCTTTATATGAATTTGAAATTTATTTATGGGTAGGTCAATTACATTTTGTGGAACTTTATTGAACATAGCAATACATTTACCCAGAAATGATCCTCTGGTTTTTTGAAGTCTGAAGCTTGGAACGGCAAGATTATTTTTATTTCTTGTTAAGATTATGAACATTATTTTTTTTTGTGAAGGAATCGTAATATTTTCTTGTGTACATAATATTCTCATAGATGTATTGAGAGGCAACAGTCAGAATATTTATTTCTTTAAATATTTCTCTGAGAGATTCCCTAAACCATAAATTATATATAGCACGGACAGCTTTTTTTTTGTAGAATAAAAATATCCTGAATGCTAGCCGCAGAACCCCACAACAATATACCATACGTCATAACACTATGAAAATAACTAAAATATACCAATCTTGCCGTTTCAACATTTGTCAAGAGTCTAATTTTCTTAACAGCAAAAGCTGCAGAACTCAGTCTACTTGACAAGCTATCAATATGAGGATCCCATTGCAGTCGGGAATCTAGTGTAATACCAAGGAACTTGGTCGATTTTACTAACTCAACTTTTTCACTATTTACATTTATAAGTGTACTGACATGCCTCACATTAGGTAATGCAAACTTTATGCATTTTGTTTTATTTGAATTCAACTTTAAATTATTATTATCAAACCACTGTAGAACGTTGTCGAGAGCATTATTTACATCGTCAAAACAATAATTATCTGCAAATAATACTGTCTCGCACAAATTCATCGTAAAGTGAGGAAGATCATTAATATAAATTAGAAAAAGCAATGGTCCTAATACCGATCCCTGTGGTACGCCCATAGTAACTGGCGCCCCTGCAGATTTCGCTTCATTAATAACTACTTTTTGAATTCTAGCAGAAAGATATTAGTTTTTACATTTTGACATCGTATTA